ATAAAAATGTAGACGTTTCTACACTTCGTTGTCTTTTGGAGGGGATATCTTTAAATTCTCTTTCTTTTTTCATAATATACGTTCAAAAAAGATGAAATTTACTTAAGGTAATCTGTTTTTCAGGTTCTGAAAATTAGCAGTTAAGTAAATGAAAATGCTCAGAACATTGTAGTTGAATTCACAAAGTATTGTTTATATATCCACGCTATTTCTTTAATCTTCATCGTTATAACTCATCATATTATATTTTTAAAAAATTCAAATACATTTTCAGGAAACATAAATTAATGCACAACTTATGCAGAATTTAATCGAAAATTGATAAGCAAGTATATTTAAGGGGAAATCAGAAACATTCAGGCAATCAAAGTAAATTGCATCTTTTTTTTAAATCTAGTTCTTCCATTACCGTCTTTCTTGTATTTAAAAAAATGAGGTGATAACATATGATATCATTGAAAGATATCAAAGCTAGCTCACTTTTAATTTTATTTCATGCTTATAAGCATTGGTAGCTCAAACAAGATAAAAGGATATATATTCATTTCTCCTAAAGATGTAATTTTGTGTTGCTTTTATGGGTTGCAAATATCTACTTTTCAAAAGACCGTTTCAAAGATTTCAAATAGCCTTCATCATAATTATGAAAATAAACATTGATGTACGAAAAAAAAATTAATTTCATTTTAAGATTTTTTGGGGGGGACTTATTAAATTAAATAATAATTTTAAGAGTTGCTGATCCTGTCTGTCAACATTTACCTTTGCAAATGTTTTCCTTATATAACATTATTTTAGCAAGGTGTATTTAATTTTTTTTATAAACAAGTTCGCCACATGGCCATAAATTCATTGTTTAGTCATAATCAATCGACGTAATTTTATATTGACTTCATACATGTAAGTGTTCGATGTGTTCAACAGATTGAAGTTTAACTGTTGAAGTTTAAAACTATATTATTTAAAACCGTTTCATAAATCAGAAACAAATGTAAATATAAGTAATGAGGTAAGCATTTAAACTTAACAATATTAAACATAATTTAAACATTTATCAAGCTGTATAAACCAGCCTTTTCAGAGGAACAATCCAGCTTATGTCAACATTTCGATTTTTTTTCCTACGTTTGATTTCACGTGATTAGGCTTCTCGGAGTTTTGACACTTCATCAGGCCCCTTAAAAATATTCCCCAAAATAATTCTATCATTGTCACCTCCATATCTTTCGGCTATCCTGACGTAAGTGTTGCATTTTGACGCTTTTTCTGTGTCTTGTTCCGAAATTTACAGAGCGTTTTCAATTCTGCTAATCTTTAAGAAAAATAAATCAACCATCAGAATATTGAAAGTGAAGCATGCTTTTACTCTAAGGCTTCTGATGGACCAACTCTATTCTGAAATCCTCCTTATTCCTTTTTTCCCTATGTTTTATATCCAGATTATTCATATCCGGATAAAGCTACTTTTTGCTAAGTACAATTACTCGACCAAATAAAAAACAACTTTTAAATACACCTTAACCAAAGCAAACAGAAAACATTACGCTTAACAAAACATATAATTAAAATGAAAAGAAATTATTTAACACTTTAGTATACAATGTGTAGAGAATCTTTAATATAGGAACTCATTGCAGACGGTAAAAACTACTAAAAACTACAAAGATTGAAAAAAAATCACCTCTACATATCTATAAGAAATGTTAAGATCATTATTACTTGAAAATATAAAGCGTAAATGATTCAAAATTACATTAAATTGTATACATGTAAATCATATACAGTACCAGTTTTGATGAACCAGATGCGCATTTCGACAAATTATGTCTCTTCCGTAATGCTCAAGCGGAAACGTTGGAAATCCAAATTATTTAAATAAAAAAGACTTGGAAGAGTTGGAAAAAAGGTGCCGAAAACTGGAGCTAAATACGTTGAAGGATCAGAGCTATGCATGAGGGAGATAATCCTTTTATTTTGAAATAAATTTCTAAATTTTAACACAACAAATATATATCCCGTATTTTCAAGCTAGTACCGAAGTACTAGGTAAATGGGCTGTAGAGACCTTTGGGGACTAACAGTCCACCAGCAGAAGCCTCGACCCAGGGATATTAAATATGAGAATAACAAACGGTAATCAAGCTCAAAATTCCATTGAAACAATAGAAATTGAAAGAAAAGCCAACACGTACCTCCAAAAACATCAGAGGTGGGATCGAGTGTCATGGAGGAGTAAACAGCCTCTGTCGACCTGTATACCCGACGTGTGCTCCTTGTCAAGGTTGGATAAACGGAGATATCCGTAGTCAATTCAGTATGAAATGAAATATATGAGGATCACGAACAGAAATAAAGCTCAAAATTCCATTGAAACAATACAAATTTGGACCAGACACGGAGGAGCAAAAACATCAGAGGTGGGATCAGGTGTCATGGAGGAGTAAGAATCCTCTGTCGACCAGTCACATCCGCCATGTGCTCTTTGTCATAACAGGACAAACAGAAAAATCCTTGTGATATAATGGCCTGTATATAACTATTTGTATGAAAACGTTAGTAAACATTTGATTTAATGATAGATTAGTTGTATTTGCTGACAAGGTCATTGTATCGACCATAGAATTTGCGAAATGTTGACTTTAAACGAGACCGATGATATTCTTGTTTCATCAACTTGTTTGTCAGAAGCCTGCCTTATTTTAAACATTGTACGTACAAAAAATATGCTCTGCCTATTGAATCAATTCTGACACATCCCCACATGCAGGCTATAATGGTATCATATTGTTTCATAAATAAAGGAAGTTGACGATAGAAAAGTTGAAGTCATCACGTTTATCATAGAGTTTAGTTGTTATTTGCCTTTGATGCCTTTTATTTCGAGTTCAATGGGATATACACGAATCGTTATCCTGAATAAGCTATGCTTCCTAAGAATTTAAACAAATTTAAAATCCATTTAAAGCGTCTATATCACTCTTGTGCCCTCGTGACTGCTTTTTTTCAGGAATCGAAAGGTGAGAAGCATAAATTTCTTTCAAAATACCATATGCCTAAACTATTTTTGTTCTTTTTGATTAATGAGTCCAAAAAGGGACTGTGATAAAATGATATTTAAAAAAGAAACATAGATATCTTGATTTACTGAACTTTTTTAAAGCTAAAATTAAAATATTGTTTCACTTTAACACTGAAAGAGAATTGACTGATTTCACCAATATAAATGAGCAATGTCCTTAAAAAAATCATTAACTCGTGAGCACTTTGATGTGTCTGTTAACTTTCTGTCGTTAGATCCCCGATCTGAGCGTGCCTTATAGTGATTAGTATGTGCTTTTATCTGTCCGTTTATCTATGAAATATTACTTATCCACAATATATCTTCTGTATCATTGCCCCAATCTGACTCAAACTGCACCATAGTCCATAGAGTACCCATTGGTAACGGGAGTGCAGTAACCTTACATCGGACGAATTTTCTAGATCAAAAGTCAAGGTCAAAAACATTTTTGTTTAAAATTCTTGTCCGGATACATTTTTCTTCCTTCTAGCCTTATCAGGCTCATTTTCACCTATAGGTGCTAGTGGATAAAGGGTGTTTAAAGACCTTAAGCCAAATTTCTAGGTCAGAGGACAAAGTTTTAGCAGGTCTCTATGTGAAATTCTTGTCGAAAGCAGATACTTTCTCTCCCATTAGCTTCATCTGATTCATAAGTCACTCAAAGAGTGCCCCTAATTAAAGGTGTAAGTCAATGATCAGATTCAAAGCAGACCTTTATATAAAATCCTTATTGTGAGCATATTTTTTTCTTCTACGAATCTTTGAGTACATTTTTATACATAATTTTTTTTTACAAATAAGTGTATTTCCTTTTTACTTATTTAACATATGATTATCTTTAAAAATGCTTAATATTTCATATCTCATAATACAAGGTATTTAGATCAATAGGTTTTGAAACCTTTCAAGTTTTGTCATACATATATGTAAACATATCATTGAGCATGACGTTTATTCAAATAGGAATAAAACAAGAATTTAACGATAAGGCAGCTAGATCCGGCGTATTTTTCGAAACGGTGCAGTCCGCTAATGTTTTCAATCATTATTCGTAAAAACTTTGTTTATCAAAAAGCTTGTGCAATGCACGTTTCTCGATATCCGTCTAGATTAGTGATAATTTCCCTGAGAAAGTGGTTTTTAAACAGACTATTTTTTTTTAATTATTATTCGGTTTTCTGGGTCTTCTATTTCCTTCAAATGTTTTATAATACATAGTATAAAAAGCTTGTGCTATCATTGCAAGACTTTACAGATCACTTCTAATTTAATATTGCTAATAAGCATTGGTACATGTATCTAAGGCTAGATTCAAGAAAGTCCTTTTTCTCTAGAACTGTATTTATTCTTTACTTTTCTAGGGTACAAATGTAAACTTTTTAACGACCTTTCCTAAAACTTCAAAGAATCTTGCATAAAATGAAAATTGTGGCATGAAAAGTTTTACGTTTCAAGCTTCATGTTGAGACTTTTTTTCAATTAAATAATAATTTTAAGAGTTATCTTTCCTGGCTGAGGATCGGATATCCTTAACTGATTTTCATAAAAAGCTTCCGCAAGCAGTGAAATAGATTTATGTTTTGAAATATTTATTGTAGTAGCATGGTCATATGAACAGTTATAAAAATATCATTCACAATACTACTCGGCTTTCACAGATTGTTATTAAACAAGCACTCACTTAAAATTTAACTTTGAATAATTAGGAGCAAATTACCTACCGTAATAGGTATAAATAGATCTGTTCGGCGTGCTACTGTCGCAATGTCACACTCTATTTTAAATATTCCTATAATACATGTATAATAATTATGATTTTTTTTTGTTATTTATACTATAGATATCGGGGTTATTTTCTTAATTCATAAATTCATATGTTGAATATATATTGACAAAAATTTTATGACGAACAATTTTCTTTAATACTAGTATGCTAGTTTAAAATAATCCTTGTGTAAAGTAACATATTGCACTCATTAGAAAATGTTTGTTGATTCGTTAAAGTTGTCGTAGAAGATCCATAGAAAGTCAGTAATTTTTTACTGAGATGTTTGCCATTCTGATACTTTCCTTTTCTTTTCTTGTACTTTCTGAGCTTTATAATTCTCAAAATCTCTAAATATTGCTGAGGTTGATTTGTCTCTTCTTATAATTTCTGGAATTTTACATTTTTGTTTAAGTTTTTCTAATTCCGAGATCTTCTTATAATAGAGAGGAGAATCAACTTTATTTATCATTATTTCAGCCTCTTTGTCAACGAATTTCTTCATCGCATAATATGTCCTACAGTTTCCTGCAAACATATGTTTATATCGATTTATGTTTTTCGTTTCAACTTTTGGGTGGTATCGGACAGGGGGATCTACTTTCGCCTTCTCCTTTTCTATAATTCTGTCACGTATTTTCTGTCGCCACATGATCATGCCATGGAAGCTATTCGATAAAGAGGATAATAAATCTGTACAAGGTGCAAATTCTTCATTTTCTTCGTTGTTTTCTTCAAAATGCGATGAAATATCGGGTAGGTCGATGTTAGTTAGGGTATTTGGAATTGTCGCAGGCGAGATATCACTATCTTTCTTATCAACTTTTCTTTCATACGACTTTATGTTTGTTTTCACATAGTTTCCTGTCTCACTAATTGATGGAAAAGTTCCTGTGGATAGTGATTTGATGAGTGCTTTAGGCTTGAGTCCTTCTTCCATGTTTTCTTTTTCCCTGAAGTTGCTTAAGAATGGATCATATTTTTTAAACCCATGTAGCTTATAAACACACCCTTCAGCAAGCATTTTCGTTATGTCTTCTTTAAGCTTTCTCAATTTTCTACTGTTTTCCATTGAGCACTGCTTTTCGCCACACACAAGTGTGTGCATTTCATTCATGAGCTTCCATTTCTCCAACTCATTTTTGATGCTTGTGCTCAGTAAAGCCTCTTCGCTCATTCCAATGACGTCGCCTTCGCTCTGTGTGCGAGTCTGACGTCTACCCGCCATGATATTTACTGAAAAAATACACAAAAGTACTCAATGTACATGTCTATATGAAAATCAACAACAGAAAAAAAAAATCAGTGACAAAACTTGGAAAATCCTTGGTGCCGTGAAAATTGAATATGCTTTAATTGTGAAACAATATTAAATATGAAATCTTGAATTTGAAAAGATTTTGACAGAATACTCTCAATAGACTATGATGTACACTCGACACCAGTGTCCAGTCAGTGCAATCGAGTACAACAGCATTGGATATAAAACATCAAAAATACACTAGATATAAGTCTGTAGCACGTTTCTCCGATTGCAAATTGTTATCTTTAATATACAATTATGAATATAAAAATGGTCTGTATTGTATCATCTTTATGTTGCTCGATGAGAGTGAAGTATAAATCTAGCTGATTTTACATAGCAAAAAAAAAAAAAAATTTATCCACAAGGCATTGAACATAGCAAAATCAATTTCATTTGTTGTAAAATGTATTTAAGGGGTTGAAAGTTTACTCGTGGAGAGCAATTGATACGTTCCGAAAATAATTTCTTGGTCACTTGATATTAGATTCAAAAACATTTAATTTGCATATTAGAACTTTGAATAATAGAAGTGGACAGGTACATGTAGAGATATTGAAGTTAGATTAGCTGTCTTTATATCAAAGTGGACAGGTACATGTACTTGTAGAGTTATTAAAGTTATTAAAGTTAGACTAGCTGTCCTTGCATCAAGGTCAAGGAAAAAAAAACATCTTCGAGTAAGAATTCAAATGTACAGAAATACAAACGGAAAATAAATGCTGACATTTCCAACCAGAGTTTTTATCTTCCTCTGAAAATTAAACATTAAAAAGACATGAAATTTAAAGTAAGAATGTACCTTTAACTCTTTAAACTTCTTTCCTCTCATAAAGGACAGATCGGATGTTACTCGGCATAAACAAGTTATGTGTAAGATGCATGTACAGCTAAACTGACCCAAACACGTAGAATTGTCTCCATTCCGCCCTAATAGTGTTTAGCATTTCTGTTGTCCAGTTCGGCTAATATATTACAGATAAGATATTTGTTCAAGGACTACTGTGAATTAAGTTGTGATCAGCGTAAGACTTTAAACTCACAAACATGACCTAAAGGAGTTAATCTTCCCAAACAATGACACTTCTGTCACTTCCATATTGTCCACATTTGTGACGAAATAAAAATTAGCTTTGTGAATGCGGAATTTAAATTTTTCTTTTAGATAATACAAAAAAGCTAGGGTAATCCATTTTAAATGCATTTGGGAATTATTAAAGAATTTAAAAAGAATCCACTTGATCGCGGATCGTCTTCTGGTGTGTTATTAAGGACAATATAGGACACTTACAAAACAGGCTCTAAAGTTGTGTCTTGAAACGCAAAAGGCAATTAAAGACTCGTGTTTCCTTAACGGATCTTGATAAAGAAACTTGTGTTGTTATTTAAGATTGGCCTTTCTTTGTTACCTGAAACATTATGATTAAGTTTTTGATAAAGACGGCCTAGAAATTCTTGCAATGAAAAATGATTTTCATACAAGATTAACCCTTCGATATTGAATATTCATACCGCAAAGATGCAGTGAATGTTGATTTGAGCATTTTTGAATTGACAAAAAGTCGAACAGATCAGAAACAAGCTATATGACTTATGTAGTCTTCTCCTTAGACAACATCTTGTACAATTGCCAAATATAAATACATGAATATATATATATATATATATATATATATATATATATATATATATATATATATATATATATATATATATATATATATATATATATATATATATATATATATATATATATATAATTTCAAGACCCTATTTGTGTCATTTTAATTCAAAGATCGGTTTGTTTAAAAAAAATGATAGAAGAAGACCCAGATCTAGAGACCACGAGAAGTGAACTTTTTGCAAAAAATTCCCATCACTTTTTTATCAGTTGTGTACATGCGGTGCTTAATTGTCGTTTTTAAATCCACATCGAGATACATCGTGTACAGAGATAATAGCTCAGTAATAAGAGTTTCCACTACAATAAAAGATTTTTAAAAAGCGTTTATTACCTACCAGTCAAATAAAAGATTTTTGAAAAGGCGTTACCAGTGTAGAGCATGCACTCAGGATTCTAGGTTTTTGGTTCGATCCTCGCATGAATCGTTAATATTTTTATGCAAATGATCAATTCTTTTGTCAGTTTAATTTCTGTACTATTTTATCGTGTTTATGAGAATTTTGAAATAGATAAATTTTGGGTTACATATAATTGCACCGAGAGCATAGCAAACCATCCAATCTAATGAAACTTTAATTCAAATGCATTTAACTTATTATTTATGTGAGGTGTTACTATGTTATCGTAACTTTTAATATTTTATAAGTGGACTTAAATATTACAGTTTGACAGGGCATTTTATATGGAACGCCTCAGATTGTAACTTTGTAAACTCTGTTCATCTGTGATTCCTGCAGATCACAAGCCATTGTAAAAAGTAAGCTTTTTTTAATTAAAAAGACCACATTCATGCAAAAAAGTTTCAAAGAATAATCCTGAAAAGTTCAGTATTTTGTACATTAGTGAAGGAATCATGCCCTATAGCATCAAAAGAATATATATAAAAGTACAAATTATTGAATGATAGTAGCATATTCATTTAATGGAATGACTTGCTTTAATCTGCAAAATTGTTACAAATTTTAAAAAATGGTATGCATCAAATCGTACATTGAACAGTGTACATGAGCATCCAGAGTGTGGATATTGATCATATTTACATACAATGTAGAATCGATACATATAAAACTTACTTATAATTTCCACTCTACCACAAAAAATAAAAATATGGTGATACATTACGTACATGTACATGTTATACATATATATGATATATGACGTCGAGAGAATATCAATAGAAAATCCCAGTAAATCGCAGGATCTTTTTTGGGTCTGACAGTTCTTTTAAAATCCGAAATTATCGTCGAAATTGCCAAATTCCTCTCTCGTTGAGATGGAAATATCCTTGTTGGGCTTCTCGATTCAAATCTGTTTGATATACAAACCGGGTTATTTAAAAAGAAAATGGTTAAATTTATGTCAATTCAAAATTACGGTAAGAAACAAATTCAATTAAAAATATTTTTGTTTTTCAGACCATACATGGCCGTGGGGGGGGGGGGGGGGGCACGGGCGGGCGTGCCCCCCAATAATTTTGCCGATATATAGATAACTATAGTAAACATAGATAAATATGCTTGTGTCCCCTCAATAAAAACATCTGACGACCTTTTTTATGTCAGGAAATTTTTGGTAGTGCCTCCTCAACTGTCAACTGAAAATGTATGGCTGCCCCCCCCCCCCCCCCCCCAAAAAAAAAAAAAAAAAACTTAATTTGCTTCCTACAGGCCTGCCTTAAGCCACGTACTGGATACATATATAAGTATTAAAAAAAAAGAAAAGAAACGTTACATCTTTAAAAAGATGAAGATTCAATAATAATAATTTCTGTTTGTTATATATTTCAGAGGCAAAACCGTTGGTTTTGACCTTTAGAAGTCTCTCCCTACTTTGCATATATATCTTTAAATACAATCGGGTTCAATCTTCACTTATTTTTTAATAAATACCAAAAGGCAAAACAAAAGTTACTTTCGTTTCGTCACGAACTTTTAGACTGGTTAGGACGATGGTCAGAGACTTAATTTCCATTTGACACTTATTTTTGTGCAATTTATAGCAATATTTACCTCTTATGATGGAACATAGGAAAAATGGATACCTTCGTATTTTTATTTTCCTTGTTAAAGGTAAAGTTAATAGGTCACAATTGAATGTTACGAACTATTGGTCCTCTTACTTTTTGACCGACCTGTGTACTTTATATTTATACAAAAACCATGTGAATTTGACAGTGTAGGGATAGTAAAAAATTAAGAGGGTAGCCAGATCTTGACGAGCCACTGTGAACATGTTGGGGCCAATATATTGCTAAATTCACAGGGGTTGGCCACAATATAACTGATTAATCTTACTCTACACTATAAAATAAAAACAATATACAATTATAGCCTTTTGATGAGGTTAATCCTTAGATATATAGACCTTAGAGAAAGCATTATCAACCGAGCACAAAGTCTCTTGAGGTCTATATAGAAGTATCTAGGGATTGTACCGAATCGAAAGACTACAATTAAATTGTTTTATTATTTTATTTATTTGTTAATAAGTATGCCTTAAAATCACTGTTTCTGATACTCAGTATTTTCTCATTTAAGGCATTGTTATGGCGTTAGCATTATGACATCACAGTAATGAATAGCAGCTGAAGTATCTGTATTTAGAAACATCCAGTATATTGTGACGTCAGCACTATTGTGGCATTGGTGTTCTCTTTTTTTTCTCTTAATGTCAGTTGATCAACATGATAAAAAAAATGATGATATTAACTGAATCCTACTTTTTTGTTTTCTTACCATTAATTATATTAATATCTACAGTACTCAACTTTATATAATTATAAAGAATATTATATTATTGTATATTATTATTTTTCTCTATTGTTGCCAGCAATCTGATTGGCTCAAACTAGATCACATGATCAAGTATGAAAAGTCTTATATACTGGGTGTTTCTGTTTTAAGCTTTTAAAAAAATTATAAACCTTTTGTTTCTAAAATCTGAAACGTTCTTCTCATTGAAGATGGGATAATCTGAAATGATTAATGACAAATAATTTATTTTTCTAACAACTTATTAACTGGTTAAAGCTTTATGAATTACCCTCATAATGCCGCAATTTCTCTGCAATACTAGTTGCTCTCTGCAATACTAGTTGCATCTGCCGGGTGTAGAAACAGTTTGATTTTCGTGGAATCAGGGATGCATGTTGTAGAACTACTACTAGTTTGATTTACAAATAAAGCTATGTTTGGTCAGTTCATGTGCATCTTTCCACAAAATGTGTGTTTCTATGTCTTGTAAATGCACAAAATAATCTGCTATTCCTCACCATTAATTTAAGAGTCTGAATGACCAAGAACAATAGTGTTCCGTATCAGATAAGTCGTACATAAAATAAATTCAATATAACAATAACTAAAGCAAATTTATTTTGGGGGAAAAAGCAACTGAAATTTGGGGAAAAATCGGTAATTTTTGAGAGGGGAAAGGGCCGATATTCGGACCTTAATTGGCTGTAGAAAAATCACTGTTCTGTGAAGCAACAATGGTGCTGACGTCACTAAAGTCTTAATAAACTGGATGTTTCTAAAAACAGGTACTGCTGCTGCTATTCCTTACTGTGACGTCATAATGGGAATGTCATAACAATGCCTTATATGAGAAAGTGTTGAGTATTAGAAACATGGATTTTAAGACATTTCTTATTAACTGATAAAAAAATAATAAAACAATTGGGTACAATCCCTAGATATATAGACCTTAGAGAAAGCATATTGACCTCACACTTCATGCTTGGTTGATATGCTTTCTCTAAGGTCTACATTTCTAGGGATTGACCTCATCAAAAGGCTATAATTGTATATTTGTTTCTATACATGTAAAACATTCATATATTACATGTTACATTGTAAAAATGGGAATAACTCATTTCTTTTTCAACTTCGAGATATAGAACATTGAGTTCTTTCTGTTTTCAATAAGACAATAAATTGATCAATGTGGTAGACCTGATGTGGAAGTGTTTGAAATTAAATAAATTTTCCTGATTTTTTGCACTGTAAATTTATAATGCATTTTGGATATTTTCAATGTTGTAAACCTGCCAGTGCAGTTACTCCAATCCTGTTCAACATTACATTTTTTCTTCTTTTATAAGAACATACCATAAGATAATTTTCAATTCTGTATAATCAATAAGGGGGTTAGGAGTCATGTTCTGATCATACAAATGACATTTCATTGATTGGTGTAATGAATTTTACATGTTTCTTTAACATGGGGAACTTTGGGATAAAAACATGAAACACAACACTACAAATCAAAAATTTATGGAAGACCTTCTGTTCATCCTTATTTATTTTTGATGTAAAATGTTTATTTTTGACAGGCAGTAGCTGTTACTGGCACAGTAATGTGTCCTTATTTATCACTCTGGGAAGCCCGTTCTAAGATGTTCTGTAAAGAAAAACCAACTTGGTATCATTGTCTAGAAAACCAGGCAGGAGATTTGAGAGAAGCTTGTTTGGAACCAGTACCTATTGGAAAGGGTAATATGCATATATACAAGTGCATGTATATATTGAAAAGAAGCAGAAAAATTTTCCCATTGTATGACAAATAGATTGGTGACAAATAAAGACTTCAATAACTGAACTAACATAAACAATTTGGATTTGAATTTTACCAAAAATTTACATGATGAATTATGATGTTATTACTTGAATATACATGTAAATTGTCATATAAGTATGATAAGCAATGATTGTTTTTATTTTGTCTTTATTTTAAAAAAAAAATTATATGTTTTACAAAAAGATTTTAATTTCTTTAATTTGTGTTTAGGGTATTATCCAGTGTTATCTTTGGACTTGGACTTTATCAAACCTGTTAAATGTCCACCAACACACTACCAGTCAAAGGGACAAATGTCTAACTACTATAAAAGTATCACCTGTATGTACCCTAAGTCACTGTGTGATGATGATGGCGAAGAGAAATGTGATGATGGAAGTAACATCAAGGACCGAATGTGTCGTTGTGACTACACAAAAGGATACAGATCTAATGTATATTTATTTTCAAACCCACTAAATGCATCTTGTTATCAATCCAAGTCAGAAGAGGTGGGATGTGTCATGTTTGCTTGCCCCGAGGGGCAAGAATTAAATCCAGGTGAATTAGCAAATAATTTGTTAGATATATCATTTACTTTTAGTGGTGTCACCTAGAATTTGTTTTAAAATACCCACATTTAATAACTAGAGTGATCCAAGGAGCACGTGTTGCCTGCTTTTTAGCATCATTAAAGATGTAAATAAATCTAGGAGTGGTCGGCTATTTTTTGGTACTATTATCATAGTTCATGCATTTGCGTGCATAACAAAAAAAATCTGTGGATATAGAAGGATGAAGATGAAAATAAATCTAGGAGTGGTCAGCTATTTTTTTCGTACTCGTATCATAATTCATGCATTTGCCTGCATGTGTGCTATTTTGTGTAAAGATATTTTTTGTAACTATTTAGGATTTGACTTTAAAGTTTAATTGACATTTAGGATTTGACTTTGAAAATTAATTAATTATACTCATATGTGTTATGACAAACATTTGACAAGACTCAATCTGTTAAGATAATTATCTGTAAATAATGGCATATGGTCACTCAGTTTCAGCTTAAATAATTATCTGAGTGGTCATCATGAGTGACTCTATGTCTTATTTATAATTATACTTAATTAACCTCTTCATTATAAATATACCGTTAGGAATTTATTCCACAGTCAGAATATTTTGGAACATTCTACGACACACTGCTTATGTCTATTACACTGGCTAAATAAGAGATTGTCCACCAGTCTGCCAGTAGACTAAGTAGTGTGGCGGCTAAATTTATTTTATTATTTTTAAAGTTTATTGCACTTTTTATTTTATCTACCAACTAAAATCTCCTAATTCATACTTCAATTTATTTGTTTTGGCTTTGTTTTATTTGATCATTTTTTATACAGTAATTGAACTAAATTGTAACCTAATAAATTGTAAAAACTGTCTAGCTGCCTTCGAGTTATAGCTCTATGCATATTCGATCTTGGTGTTGTTAAGCCTAAACATAGGCTGACCCCCTGTCTCTTGGTTAGGGCAATGTCAGAGTTAGTTCCCCTTATCTACTGGTGCCCTGTACCTCGGTGACACATGCAACACATAAAAAATTTAGGGTATATCATCTGTATATAGTTGTTATCTTCATCAGTTCATTTTATCCATTACACTTTCTGTCATCTGATCACTCCTCCTCCCAAATTTTCGGAGTTATCCAATAAGTCTTGCATCTATTGGTGTTACAATATACAGTTATTGACTGGGTATGAGGGCAACATGATTTGTTGGACCTGAAGGTGAAAAATAATGTTGCTCGAGGCTGCATACTGTTATACCCCTCACTTACGATGGAATGTACACTTACAAAAATTAAAACCTTAAAATACCTTTTAATAGATTTACTCATATATTTAAACAATTTCTTCGTAAGTGATATTTTCAATTGGCTTTTTAAATAAAAATGACAACAATAAAGAATGAAAAATAAATCATTAGATTATTATGACACAGAAATTATTTATCTCAAAACATTATTTTTCCCGTGATGCCATCTTTCAAAAAGCTTAAGCGATACGTAACTCTTGAAACTTCGGCTATTTCTGTGTCTGATATTGAACGACCACTAATTACTTGTGATGTAGCAGTGATGTTGCGGTCTAACAATTCTTATGTTGGACTGATAATGAAATTGTCAGATCGCTGAAAAAATATTTACTTTGTTGGACTTTTTATTCGTAATGCGTATACAGAAAGATATTTATAAGGGTAAAACAATTTGTTATGAGTAGCATTATATTCTTTAATTGAATGTATTTACATGATTGGCATACATAAATTTTTAATGAGTGGTCAGGTAGTTAATTGAGCAGGTCTATTCGTTTTTTAAGTCCCAGTAAGAGGTTAATCTTGCACAGATGAAAAATAGGTTCAAATCTTAATATTCAATTTATACAGCTTGGTGCCAATTAACTTTCTCATTAAAAAAGTGTGTAAGGGGGGCAGGGGTGTTAAATACTACATGCATTTATATTTATTTTAAAATACATGTATTTCCTCTTTTTCTATTTCAGCATATTACTGTGTGAAGAAATGTTCATATGGCTACTATCGAAAGAAACATGGATTTAACTGTGTGAAAAATTTTTCCATACCGTAAGAGTTTAGCATTTATTCGAAGCCAGTTTTTTAACTCATTTTTATTCATTGTCTATTTGAGGTAAATTTAAGGGTACATTCTTCCTGAATTGTTTCACTGTTTGGATTAAATACTGTCTCCAAAACTTGCAACTAATTAATGTTAAAGCCATCTCTATAAGTAAGGAATCCGATAAACATTGCGCAGAGAAATATATTTTTTTAAATAGAAAAAATTCGTTTTAGCATTGATTTATGTTTCAAACTTAAGATTAAAATCAATAGAAATTTTAAATAATTTTTGCCTATTTCTTTATGTTACACATTATAGGTCATCAACAGTCCAGTATACTACAAAGTCATCTGTAACTGCCAAAGATCTCACTCAGAAACCTAAGATCAATGATATTCCTGATGATCTAATGGTGACTTGTAAGTGCTTTCAGAAAAATGAAGTATCTTAAACTAAATCAAAGTAAATAACTGCACAAGTTCACTCTAGTTTTACATTATTCTAGTTTGTACAGTGTATGTCAATGTCATCTATGTACACTGGTACAACTTACAGTCATTGGTAGTCAACCCACCACTTGAGAGATATTAATAAGAAATTCATCATTGAACATTGCATGGACATTGTTTTGCATTGAGAGTTAATATTTTGATTTATGTACTTAATGCCTAACAAGTACATTTATTTAGTTCATGAAAAATATTCTGTTGTATGAAAGTGTACTGACAATTTCAAAAAACAGAATGAAATTTAGAATATAGATAGGTATAATTAGTTTCTGCATTGAGCTAGGAAGTAGGAAGTGATAAGATTTACATTTAATCAAAGGTCCTCAATATAATTGATAGATTATAAATGCTGGGGGAGGGGGTTAGTTAATCTCCTATAAGTTGGAATTTTGACTTTTAAGGAAGTTTTTGAAGGCTCCTGAATTGCTCATGATATAGGGTTCATAATTGATTCATTAAAAGTGTCATGAATAAATTAAAGAACAGATTCATCACAACTATAATTGAAAGTACTTTATGAACAAAAAATCATGAATTAATGACAAGCTACTTTTGTCTTCTAAAACAACCTTAAGAACCATACCAGTTTGATAAATTACAGTGTAATAAACCCATGCAAGTATGAAAAATAAAAGTTGAGGGAGGTCATTGCACTTAATAGCTTAGCCAGAGTATTAATGTACCTGTAACTACAGAATTGTGCAAGGATTTAAAAAAAAACAATTTATATGTGCATTTTTGGCTAATTTGCTCAGAAGTGGTTTGTTTTAACTTTTTTGTACAAAAATTCCATTAATATTTGATCCATAGAATCCAAAGAGCATAAAAACTTAGCAAGTATGTTACATTTGTAGCAAGTGGTACTCTTCTATTGGTGAACTTTTATTTAATTAATAGCTTCAAAAACATAATTTATGAAAACAAGTGACCCAGGACTAAAAACATGAACAACCTTATTTTCAAATCTTTCTATAACCTGGAATGGTTTTTTTTTTTACATGATATAGAATTTTTAAAATTATTTGTTGTTGATAACACTGCAATTCCAAACTGTAAATTTTATAACATGTGGTAATGAATCTCAAATTTTCTTTTCAGCAAATGAAAACAGCTTTTTTAAGGCAGCAGCAATAGGTTCACCTGTTCTTTCAGTGGTTATTGTTGTGTTTATTATATTTGGTAAGGACAACATAACTGCTTATTAAACAAGCATTCAATATGTAAACATATTCGAGTAACACTATATAGTGCCAATATTTATATGATTTAAAAATGTTTTTCAGACTAATGAGTGCAGAGTTTGTGTGTAATTATTTTTTTTATTTTCATCTCTTTTGAATACCTCTGACTCCCTTAGCCATGCAAAGGATTAAGTGAGCTTTATTGATCTTTATTGCTGGAGATGTAGTGTAGGTCAAAGTTGGTTTAGAACCAGGATAAGAGCATAGTTCTTTTTTTTTTTTTTAAAGAATATTTTGAAATTTTTATAAAGAAAAAGACATTCTTATGAACAACAAGTTATAAATTTCTTAAATCAATGATCTAGCTCAGCTGTGCAGATCAAATTAATCCAAGGTTTCCAAAGGTATTGCCAGAATCAATATTCAAAATACAAAGATGGTCCAAAAACTGTAAGGAAAAGAAATATAAATCTGAGAGAGAGAATTTTTTTTTTTTTTTGAATACTTGCAAGACCTCTCCCGTACGTTTGTTTTGATTTTGTTATACATGTAGGGGGTCTCACTTCAGAGGTTGAATAGAAAGTTGAAAGGATCTGTGTAAGGTGGCCCAGGTCTGGTGGCTAATACTGTTTGTTTGTACACAATCAATAACTTAAGATTTTTGGGGTAAGGAGGTGTCAGATTGCATTGATTTTTTTCACTGATTTTGCTATCAAGAATGACCTTAAAGTCAAACTCAACTTTATTCATATCAATGAAGTTCTGACTGTTATCATGCATGCAAAAACTTTGAAATGAGAAGATTAAAATTGTAGTAATGATTGCATGTACAAAGGATATGTTATCTGATAAATGCAGTACTTTTTTTTTATTGCTGTTAATTTTAAATGTCCTCTTATAATACATATGGTCAAAATTATTGCTTCAAGCTAAAATCATAAATCTTAATAATTGCAAAGGCAAAGAGTTGTTAATTTCTGACATTTTACACAGGTCCTAATATAAATTTAAGCTATGTTTACTGCATAAATATTTTCATTAAAATATAGAACATTAATTTTCTTTAGTTCATGAATATATTTGTATATGTATCATATTTACAAATAAACAATAATTAAATATTCATGAATTGGTATATGTTTGTAATAATTATGATAAAAATATGATATGAACAAAGTTAATTTAATAAGGTATTGATCATTGTTATTTTAGTTATCTTCCAAAGAAGAAAAAGTAAGATTTTATTTTAAGTTTAAAGTTTTTAAAGTTATACATTTTATCATTTTTCAAGGAGTTACTTTTTACATGTACTAAAAAATAATAAGATGATAATTAATGCTAAGATTCTTAATTTATCAATCAATATAAAGTATTAGAAATATATTTAATCTTTATTTAATAACTATAATCACATATAAATATCACACAAATTTAAAATGCAAAAATGTTTATCATGCATGAATGAATCAATCTTATTGTGACAATTGTTTGATTTATGATTTATAATGTTATGTTTCTTGTGCACAGAAGGTTGGTGTTCAGATTTACATGGCAGTAGAAATACAGTCCAAGAAACAGAGAGTAAGATCAATTTTAAAAATGACTTGCACTATGATTTTTTTCTTTTAGTTAAATAGTCTTTGTAAATTCACAGTTAATGGAGAGAACAGGGGATGCTCACTCCTCCATGGCACCTGATCCCACCTCTGATGTTTGGAGGTCCAAGTTTGCTCTGCTCCTATTTTGTATTGTATAATGGACTTTTGAGCTTGAATACTGTTCGTTATCTCCATATATTTCATTCTACAATTTTACAATTATCACACCATATGCATCATGTCAGTCAACACATTTCTTTTTTAAGAATTATGTACATTGCTGTATTTCGTAACACAGTCAAATTATGTTTGTTGGAACTTGCAATGCATGCAATCCATACAACATCGTGTTTTTTGTGGGGAATGGGAGGGGACCATCAAGCATATAACATCTGTATAAATAATGATTTTGTGAAACGTTTTACTAAAAAAGTTATCAAACCATAAAGCTAATGGTTTGTGATAAAAAATGAAATTCTCTGAAGTAGTTGCTCAGGGTGGCGGTGTTTAATTAACAACATACTATTTTATAAATTTAATATATTTTATAATGCTGAGAAAAGTTATAAGGTACCTGTTCTTGCTATTATTTCTTGTGATGTTATTAAGTGTGACAATACCTGTTTCACTTAAAATCTTACCTGACACATTTGCTTAAGTAGACATTTTTCTTTTGATTTACCATATCCTTGTTCGAATGAAGGACTAGGCTCTCTCTCAAGGAGAGATAATTAAGAATTAGTGAAAATTTGGTGTCACCTTTTAAAACTCATCTTTTCAAGAACCACTGGGCCAAAAAGTTGAAACCTATGTGAAGCCTTCATTGCATAGTGTAGATTCATTCTTCAAATCATGACCACTGTGGGATCAAAGTTTTACAAAGGAATATATTGGTAAAAAAATCTTTAAAAAATCTTCTTCTCAAGAAACACAATGCCATGATTAGTCAAATTGATATGGAAGCATCCTCAGGTGGTGTAGATTCAAGTTTGTTCAAATCATGACCCCTTTGGGATAGGGTGGGGCCACAATGGGTGATCAAAGTTTTACATAGAAATATATAATACATAGAAATATATAACAAAAAATCTGCTGATGAAGAACAGGGGGGTCATACTGATGCAGTTGAGCATTGTAGACCATGCACCACTTGTTTTTATTTAATGATGATAATGTGACATAACATGCTGATTTTCTTCCTTAAATGCTGATAGGTGGTTGTTATATTGTGATATTTCCCCATACCTGATGGTACCTTGATACGCGGACACATTGTATAATGATACTCTTAAGTTTAGAAAGAAAGATAGGGGCTCATATCAACACTGTAAAAACATGGTGCATGTATTGGAGAAACTGCAGTTGCAACATACTTATGAATATTAATATTAAATGGGTTAAAAATGCTAGTTATTGTTTTTAAGCTGTTGTATATAGAAGTTGTGCCTTGATATGTTATATAGAACCAACATAGCAGAAGATAATCGAATGTGTTTTAGAATAATTTCACAACACAGAGGGAAAAAGTTACAGAATCTCCAATCTCTTTTTGAAGATCTCTTCATTTATTTCCAAAAAATCATATTTACTCGATTCAAAAAGAGCATTCTATGATAAAAAGGTCCTCTCTAATACTAATGAAAACTGAGCAATTGCGACTTTATACGATTGAGATAGTTATATATACTATTAAGATAATTATTCAGTGAACATATAGAATTTATATTTTGAATGTTTGAGGTAAATTCGTAAATTAATCAATTCAGATCATATTTTATCTGTGATTAAAAATGATTTAAAAAAGGATATTTACTCTGATTATTGCCTAAACTCACTTTTTTTTAATTCATTCATTATATTATAGTGGAAAGGATTTCTTCCAATGAGGATCATTCCAAAGAAGGAAAAAAATACATTGTAGTTGCAGGTATGTTTTTGTAAAGACTGTAAAAGCCATAAATTTTTAGGCATTCTTATTCATCATTATCTTCAACAATTGTCATGTAAGTCCAATTACTTAATTTTGGTGTTGAGATGGAGGGGTTAGAGGACTTCTAGATAGTACATTTTGTTTTTTTAATTATACTTTTTCGGGAAGCTGTCTGGCAAGGTAGTCTGTGGTTGATCATAAAAAATAAGCAGGACTATGTATAAATCCAATTAATAGTTATATTCCATATATTATATGACAAAATAAACCCTGAAGCATTCTATCTTGCAGAACAGAAGACGTTACTGATGATAGCATGATCAATATTACATAATTTAAGATATTCGTCCCACCACTGATTCTTTCACTTTACATTTTATAATATTTACATTTTTTCTTTGATGTAGATACGTTCATTGAAAACTTGATTGTCCATGAAGCTGAAAATATGATGATAGGCGATAATAACAGGATAGTGAAAGGATCTTCTTCAGAGTGTTCCCATGAACAGTAGAGGGAAATTTCATCTTGTAGTACATGTAATAATTTTTGTATTAGCTCGCCTTAACGAAGTAGGGGGAGCTTATGTGATACCCTAGGCGTGTCGGCGTCCAAGGTTAAAGCTTTTGGAGCAGATATCTTAAAGTTTCAAGTATTTCTATGCCCTATTTTGATCAGATGTGCATTGACAAAGCTTTTGGTAACTATGTTTCAATGTACCAATCCAGATTTCAGACGCTGCATTTGCAGCCAAAGAATGGCCAGGTTAATGTTTTTGGAGCAGGTTTGTTATGTTTTGGGAGCAGGTAAAAGTTTTTGGAGCAGGTCTCATTTCAAAGTAAGTAAAGGCCCAATATTGACCAAACTTGCAGGAATGATACACAGTGTACATTTAAAAAAATCCATACTTTCAGACTTGCTTCGGATGCTGGATCTGACCTGCATTTTCCGGATGAGTGGCCAGGTCTAAGTTATTTGATCAGATTCATTATAAAGTAACTATAAGCTCTATGTTGAGTAAACTTGCAAGGATGATACTTGTAAGGATAAACACAAACAGACTTGCTTTGGATGCTGGATTGGACCTACTTTTTCAAGATAAGCGACCAGGTTAAAGTTTTTTGGAGCAGGCTCATTCTTAAGTAAAAATTATAAGTCCTATATTGACAAAACTCATATGGATGATCCATCTAAGGATGCACTCTACCAGACATGATTCATATGCTGGATTTGACCAACACTTTCCAGATGAGTGACCATGTCAGAATTTTTGGAACAGATTCATTTTTAAGTAAGTTTAAGCCCTGTGCTGTCCAACCTTGCATTGAAGATGCATTTATTGATACAGGGTTTACCTACTAGACTTGCTTCAGATGCTGGATTTGACGTAGTCCTACATTTTCTAGATGAATGACCAGGTTTAAATTTTGGTACAGGTTCATTCCAGTGTAACTTCAAGCCCTCTCTAGACCAAATTAATGCATCAAGGGATGGACGCTATCAGACTTGCTTAAAATGCTGGATTTGATCTATTTTTTTCTGGAGGAATGACCAAGTTAAAAGTTTGGAGCAGGCTCATTCTAGTGTAACTTCAAGACCTATCTATGCCAGGCTTGCATGGATCTTGTATCTATGGATGCACACTAACAGACTTGCTTCGGAAGCTTATTTGACCTACATTTTCTGGATGAATGATCATGTTTAAGCTTTTGCAGCAGGTTCATTTTAGTGTAAATTCAAGCCCTATTGGACCAAGCTTTGATGGATGTATTATTTAGGAATGTACAATACCAGAATAATATAACTTAATGCATAAAATTTGTGCAGAATATCACAGTAACTATAATTCCTGAGACAAAACCTGTATTGAATAGAAATAAAGATCATTAAGAAGGTTTGGTACAAAAGCACTTGACAATGTATGGAATATATTCGTAAAATAATGATATTTGTCACTGTTGTTTTAGTAAATGTTACCATTTATGAAAGAATACATCCTCACAAGGCCGGGGGGGGGGGGGGGGGGGAGGGGTCTTAGTCCCATGGTCACCAGTGGACTCAGGGCTCCTGACTTTGTGAAGATGGATATATAGTCAGTCGAAATTCAAATATTTTTTGCATAATTAGCTTTATCGCATAAACGTATTCCAAGATGTGAAAAATGACTTTATTATAACAGTACAGTTATAGACATAAATGTACATGATCCAAGTTTGCTATTGAGCTGTTTATGGTTTTTTATTGTTTCATTTTTATTGCATCTTCATGGCCGTAGGAACCGGGGGAGGGGCGTGCCCCCCCCCCCCCCCCCCATAATTTTGCCGATATATAGAATACTATAGAAAACATAGCTACTATATACTTGTGCCCACTCAATAATAAATAATGTCTGATGACCTTTTTTTTTTTTGCTTGTCAAGGAATTTTTGGTAGTTGACAGTGCCCCCCCCCCCCAACTGAAAATCTGAAAATGTATGGTTGTGCCCCCCCCCCCCCCCCCCCCAATTGAAATTGCTTCCTACGGGCCTGGGCCTGTTTTACAAAAGAACTTAAGACTAAGACCAAAATTTAATTCTTCTAATAACTTTCTAATTTACATTAAACAGAAAATGGTTTTAATCTTTTTAACAAGTATGTAGAATGATACTTTTACGCTAGCAATTGTAATCAGAATCAATAATTTTGCAAAATTTTATAATCAACTTAAGTTTTTGGTCTTAGTCGTAAGTTCTTTTGTAAAACGGGCCCCTGATCTTTTTCAGTAAGGTGTATGTGTACTAAGACATACAATATATGTAAGCAATCGAACTATCGGCATGTATACCTGCCTTTGAATACTTCTTATGTAAATGTATTATTTATATACTTAAGGTTGACTTTGTGATAAGGAGAAACTGTGATAAAATAACGTGTTTCCTAGTTTACATTTGGAGTAAAAAAAATAACAACGAAATAAATATCCGTAATTTTCATTGAAAGTTCTTATTCGTATTTTTGAAATTCGCACCTGTTTTATCTAGAAAATAACTAGTTTGTCTCTCATTCTGTCTAATCACAAAATGGGTGATGAGACATTAATGTACTATACAGTAGACAAAATTTCTAACGTACCACTTAAAGGGGCTTAGAGACAGATTTGAAGTTAATATTTTCTCATATTGTCTGTATAATATAACTTATATGTTACTATAGCATTTCACACAAAAATATAAACTGCAACAGTGTAGTGTTCATGGAGACGAACAGCATTCAAGCTCAAAAGTCCATCAAACGATACAAAATAGGAGCAGAGCAAACATGGACCTCCAAACATCAGAGGTGGAATCAGGTACCATAGAGGAGTGAGCATCCCCTGCCGACCGGTCACACCCGCCGTGTGCTCCTTGTCATGATCGGGAGATAAGGAAAAAATCCGTCGACAATTCAGTGTGTAAATAATGGCCTAACAATTAGTATGAAAAACGTCAGTCAGCATGCATTTGACTCAATTATAAATTGGATTTGCTGACAAGGTCATTGTATCGAGCATAAAACTTACGAAATGATGACTTTAAACTAGACAGCTGATATTCTTGATCATCAACTTGTTTGTCAATAATTTTCCTCGTATTAGAATTTGTACATACGTAGAGCATGCTCTTGCGTATCGAATCAACTGAAAGATATATACCCAGTATGCAGGTGATGAAGGTATATTGCTGCATAGGTAAGGGAAGATGACGATTGAAAAGTTAAAGTCATCACATTTATCATAAATCTTGGTTGTTAGATTAACATTGACGTCTTTTTCAAGTAAAATATCCAAATATGAAACAGATGTGTCAGACCCTGTGGTATCTTTTATCTCAAGCTCACCAGGATATATCGTATCGACATAAGAATGGAAATAGCCATTGTTAATTGACAATACGTTGTCGATATATCTAAATGTCGAGTTGAAGGCCACAGCAAGTGTTTTCTTCTTTTCACGTACAAGATTTTGGACAAATTCTCTTCTTCATATGAATACAAAAAAAGGTCTGCTAATAACGGGGCGCAATTGGTACCCATGGGAGTTCCAATATATTGTTGGAAGACCTGGTCTCCAAAAACCACATAGATATTGTCAATCAGAAACTCAAGCATCTTTTTAGTGTCAACTTCAGAGTACGTGTGTGTACAATCAGAATGTTTTTTTAACAAAATAATTTTGCAAATGACCAATGACAAAGTAAGTAAATTTACGAGTTCTATTTTTATTGAAAAAGCAGCTGTCAATGATATCAAAAAGCCTGGACTTTAATTTATCGTGGGGAAAGGTTGTGTATAAAGTTGAAGAAAGTAAGTTTTTAAGCTGTTGATTTTGGTACAATCCGGTGATTTCAAATTTTCCAAAAGTTCCTTTGAATTTTTAAGTATCCACATCTGATTTACACCATTTCTCGAATACATTGTTGCACAGTACTCCTGAAGTTTCTCCTTCACTACTATTAATATTTTAGTGAAGAGTAAAGAAAGAAGCTTGGTTGGATTAAAGCGTGAAATTGAGTGGATGCTGCGCAGACATTGTGTTCTGGATTACTGTAAACCAACTATTATTCGTGTCATCTTTTATTCAGTTTGAAATCAATCCACGACGATTAATCCCTAACAAAAAAAAATAACTAAAGTGTTAACTTTGACACTATGAAAACTTTGATTGACTATAGTGATAACTTTGACACTTTGAATTACTATTGTTAAATATCGTTAACTATAGTAAACTATAGTTAACTATAGTATTTTTTTGTTAGACATTTTCTATAAATACAATAAATAAAAAAATAAATGCTTCGCGGCGATTAATATTCGCGAGTTAAAGTAGGTCGCGAAACTCGCGAATATTTATCACACGGGAATAAAAGTTGGTTTACAGTAACTTAGATCTTTTACTATTCAGTGTGTACATAATGGCCTAACAATTAGTATGAAAAACGTCAGTCAGCATTTGAAGTATTGATTGGATTTACTGACAAGGTCTATATTAACCATAGAACTTGCGAAAATGATGACTTTGTATCCTCGATCATCAACTTGTTGTCAATAGCTTTCCTCGTTTTAGAACTTTGCAATATGTAGAGCAAGTTCTTACGTATCGAATTAACTGAGAGACAAACCCCATATGCAGATGATAAGGGTATATTGCTACATAAGTAAGGGAAGTTGACGATTGAAAAGTTGAAGTCATCACGTTTATCATAAAGCTTAGTTGTTAGGCTACCATTAACGTATTTTTCTAGTAAAATATCTCCAAAAATGAAATAGTTGTGTCAGATTCTGTGGTATCTTTTATTTCAAGCTCATTGGGATGGATCGGGTAGACATCTGAATGGACGTAACTATTGTTAATTAACAATCATCGTCGATATATCGATTTATCGAGTTGAAAACCACAGCAAGTGTTTTCTTCTGCTAATTAAGGTATTAGACCTTGGATAAATTTTGCTTCATATGAATACAGAAATCTTCCTCTTATCTCTACATACTGAAATGAAATGATTTATGAGAAACGAATAAGTAGATGTATGCAAGCTAAAATCATTGACTGGAACAGAAATCGACAGTCTTTTTGTAAAGACTAAAACCAATCCCAGCCCTTAAGGTCCAAGCTCCATTTAAAACGAAGTGTTCCTTTATTTGAGTTCTTTCAGAACACTACTTCTACAGTTTTGGTCCAATTTCAATCAAATTTTATTCAAAAGTAGACTACCGGTATACTAATATTTTCGAGAAACGGTGGTTACTGAAATGGAAATTTCTTCAATTGTTTAAAAGTTCTACTCCTCTTACAGTTTTTGGTCTGATTAGACTTTTGACACAAGAAGACTATACTAAGATACATATATCGTTATCATAAGTGCACACTAATAGAGCTACAATCTCCTCAGAGATTTGTGGTTTTCAGCTTACATGTACCTGAGCCGAAGGCTCAGTTGAACGTTTCTGATCACATTTTGTCCGGCGTCTGTCTTGCTGTCCCTCTGTCTGTCGATCCGTCTGTCTGACAGTGAGCTTTCCACATTTTCCTCTACTTCACAAGAACCACAATGCTAATTTCCACCAAAATTGCCACAAAGTATCCTTGGGTAAGGGGAATGGAAGTTTGTTCAAATAAAGGACCATGCTTCTTCTAAGGGAGATGAATTAGTGAAAAAATGATGACATCTTTTTAAAAATCTTTTTCTCAAGAACCACTGGGCCAGAAAATATGAAACTTAGGTGGAAGCATCCTCAGAAATGTAGATTCAAATTTGTTAAAATCATGAACTTGAGGGTAGGGTGGGCCAATGGGGCGATCAAAGCTTTACTTAGGAAAACATAGGAAAAATCTTGAAAATTCTTGTCAGGAACAGCAAAGCCACGATTGGTAATATTTATATGGAAGAATCCCTAGGCAATGTAGTATATTCAAGTTTGTGCAAATCATGAATCCCGGGACCAGGACGGGGCCACAAGGGCACTCAACGTTTTACAATGTACATAAGAATATATAGCGAAAATCTTTAAAAGTCTTCTTCTCAAGAACAACAAAGCCATGATTGGTCAAATTAATATCGAAAAATCCATAGGTAGTGTAGAATCAAGTTTGTGCAGATCGTGACCCTCGGGGGTAGGGTTGGACAACAATGGGCGATCAAATTTATGCTTAAGAATGTAACGAAGAATCAATGAAAATCTTTTCTCAAGAACAACAAAGCCATGATTAGTCATATTAATATAGAAGTATACTCAGGTAATGTAGATTGAAGTTTATCAAACCATGACCCCTAGGAGTACAAAGGGGCCACACAGCTGATTAAAGTTATGCAAAGGAATAGTTAGAAAATATCGTTAAAAATCTTCTCAAGAACAGCAATCGGTCATATTACTTCAGAAGCATCCTCAGATAGTGTAGAATCAGGTTTGTTCCAATCATGTCCTCCGGCAAAATTAACAGGATTAGTTTGTTTGTTTGTATGTGTGTTGTTTAACGGCCCTCTCGAGAATTTTTCACTCATATGGAGACACCACTTGTCGGTGGAGAGCTGCAAATTTTGTCCTATACTCGGCACTTACGGCCATTGAGCAGTGAGGGATCTTTTACGTGCCAGCACCTACTGCGACACGGGACCTCGGTTTATACGGTCTCATCCGAAGGACCGATCTCCACGTCCCACAGTGGGATTCGAACCCGCGACGTAAGGATCAACTCCTTACTCCGCGACTCTAGAGCAGACGCTCTAACCACTGCGCCACGCGGGCGACCTTAACAGCATTAGAAAATAGTACATGTGTATCCAAAAGACAAAATGCTTCAAATTTTCACACAGCAAGACTCCCCCCCCCCCCCCTCTCTCACATTGGAAGGCAATTGCATTAACGAGGTAAACAATTTCACATATTAGAGAAATTGGAGGATCAGGTGAGGACTTAAAATTAAGAATACTGGAAAGACAAAATATGCATTTGTCATATCAAGACCAATTTGGAAAAAGAGAGAGGACAACCCCCAGTGTTCATAAACAAGTTTCTCCGCTACATTCGCAGATTTAAATGGTCTGAAAATATATTGAATAATGAAACATGGAGAAGAACCATCAAAACTCCCATAGCTGAGACCATCAAACTTAGAAAATGGCGTTGGATTGGTCAAATACTTTGAAGACTACAGAATAATATCACAAGGCATGCACTGGACTGGAACCCACAAGGCAAGAGAAAACTTAGGCGACCAGGAACAACTTGGAGACGAACCGTAGATGCGGAGATCTTTCCGGAAGTGAAATATGCAGCTCAAGACAGAGACAATAAAGGGCTGTTACATGTATCTAGGTCCTATGCCGCTGCAGGAACGAAGAGATGTAAGTAAGTAAGCATACTTTTTGTGGTTTTTTAAAGCTCTACTGGTCAGAGACCAGGAGAGCTTATGCATTGTAAGGTGTCTTGTGTGTCTTCCCGTTTGTCCAGCTGTATGTCTGTTTGTCCGTCTGTAAACATTTTCAAACCCTACTCTTACTATAGTTTTAGTCCAGTTTTAATAGGAAACAAATGTAAAAATCATTTGTTTTCAAACCTACATTTTTTAACCCAAACTATACACTGTCAGAAAAAATATATTTCTTGAAAAAAATATTTTAAGATATGTCAATTTGTTCACAAAATTGTACTAAATATTATTTTAAAGGTTCTTCTGATAAACAATAATTTCACAGAGATTAAACTCCCAATACCTATTTGTATTCTACACATGGATGAAAATTACTTTCCGCATTGAATACATAAAATCTGAACCGGTCGTGGGTATAAAGGTTAACGGGGCAATTTTTAGGGTTAAAAATATTTTTTAAAGTGCTTTTTAGTTTTTACGTGTTTTTTAATGCTTTTGTGAGCTTCAGAATTATTAAATGAATGTCACTGTTGTTTACAACAAGATACCAAAAACTATAGAGAAACAGTTCCATAATAATAGAGTGCTATAATTCATTTCAAGGAGTGTTTGTTATGCACGCTTTACTACTTTTGCCTAGATATAGTCGAATGAAAACTATTTATAAATCCATTTAAAGGATCTTTTACTTGTTTTACCTTGTTTTTTTTTAATCTTTACTCTGGCGTGTTTTCCATGGGTACGTGCAATGTCACTAATCTGATATAAATAGTAGTAGACGACCTGCAATGGCTCTCTTTAATGTTTACGAAACTCGAGATTTGTGAAGCGTAGTGACATTTGGATTACCCGTATTGAGACTATTTTCGTTTTAAATTTGGTAACTCATGGTAAGATGATATGGTATGGATATATTCATAATGATATATATTTCATTTTAAAATCATTGTTTATTTATTCTATTTTATATAAGCCGCTCTGTTATTTGTTAAAATCTTTTTTTTTTACATAGGCCTTTTACATCTATTTTTGGGTGGTATGAAATGACGTAAATTCTCAGGAAAGGAAAACCATGGATCAAATTGAAAATGGTTGAAAATATATTTGATTCCTTCCAGGTTGTATTCTTCATTACGGTAAGTTATTTCTGAATCTTTATTCATATGCAGATATACATGTCATGTATTTTTTCATCAATTTGCAAGTTTCAATATTTCGTTACATATTTTGAACTTTCATAAGTAAAGGTGAAATGTGTGCTGTCATTGATTTTTAATTGAATTTGTTTACATGCTGTGATCAAATTATTGTGGGAACTCTCCTGGATGTTTTTTTATGGTAAGATGTTTGTTGTCCGTCTATCTGTCCAGCTAGTATCTCTGCTCTTCTGTTTCTCTGCATATGGGTGAATTAAAACTAATGACCATACATATATTTATCAACCAGCACTAAAACTACAATCAATGGGAATAAATCAAAGATTTCATACTTAAGCTTCATTCTGATACTTTTCGAATTAAATACTGAACTAAAGAGTTGTCATTCCTGACTGAGGATCGGATATCCTTAAGAAAGTCTTTTTTTGAAGATGTAGTAATATTTTCAATTTTTTTTTTTCAAATAACATTTTACTAATAAAAATTCTAAAACATTTTTAAGCAATTGTATTCTATTGTCACTTCAGGAATTTTAACTAGAATACATGTACCGTATGATTTTAGAGGTGAAAAATATATTTTGGTTAGTTGAATTTTTTAAAACATTTTCAATTTGGTGGCCATTATTTTTGAATTCACCCATATGAAAATTTTGAAAACGCTACTCCTCCAACTTTTTTGGTTCTATTTCAATAGAACTTGCTACTAACGTAGAGTACACCAAAGTTTATAATTTCACATATCTATGTATAGCCATGGTTATTTCGATTGATTGATTGATAAATTGTTGTTTTACGTCTCGTTCGAGAATTTTTCACTCATACAGACGTCACCATATACATGTACAGGTGAATGGCTTCAGATTTATACCTCTACTCGGCACTCAGAGCCATTGAGCAGTGAGGGTTCTTTATCGTGCCAACGCCTACCGTGACACGGGGCCTCGGTTTTTAAGAGCCATTCTCTGTAATGACTTTAACTCTTATATAGGAGCTGTGGCACGCATAGTCTCAGAATCTCTCCAAACTCTCTATAATAAAAGTCTTTGACACCGTAAACTCAAATCAGGCAAAAATTGGTTGCTACGTGTCATGGTTACCATAGCAACATGTCCTAAAATTTGAAAAATGGCATTTTTCAACATGTTCAGAGTCCCACAGTTAACGTTTGCAGTAAAGCAAACAAGTGGCAAGTGACTGTTTCTGAAAGTTGAAGGCCTGATGTCTTAAATGCACGATAAACATGTTTGGTAAATCAACTATTACATACGTTACTATGGAAACAAATTATTCAAAACTGATAATTTTGTTCATTTTATTTTATAAAGTCATACAATAAGATTAAAAACAATTATGGGTTGAAATGCAAGCAAATAATAGACAAGAGATCCTTGTAACATATACCAAGGACGAAACAAGATATTTCTCATAGGTTGGCAATGGTTGCCATGGTTTTAATACCACAAGGGGATTTTAAATTTACTCTCTTAGTGTTTTAATATTATCCTATCTTTTTAAAAAGCATATTTCTATATAACTGAGGATCAATTTTTAAAGGCGTTGGTGTGACCCTAATTATCACATTTCAAAAAATTCAAATTCAACTCTTTAAATAAAGCGTTGCTATGGAAATTAGTCGAAAAAATATTCTGTTTCCTTGGATACATACCCTTGTATGTAGATTCCCAAAATTTTTATGATTGATATATATGAACAACTAACCTGACTTTCAATTTTGACTACCAACCAATTTCTAACTGGATGCAAAAAGCTGGCACATAGGATTTAATATTGATATAAAATTAACAAAATCGAACATTTTCCCTTCTTGCAGTTGGTAACGATAGCAACAGTATTGTATTTTTCAACAAACTTTATCAGTATATGACATTCAACTTTAGTTCTACCAGATAAGTTCCATTCAAGGTGATTCAAATAATATGTTTCTTGATTAAAAGGTAATTAAATTCCTAAAGCAGCAAAAAATATCACTTTAAACAACTGGATTCGTATGCATAAAAATTCTAAGAATTTTCTTAAGTATATGCTTAAATTTCTTAAGCATATTCTTAGCTGAGTAACATACTTAATTTCCGTTCCATAAAACTTCTAAGCAACATGCTTAGCGATTCTTAGCTAAGCATATCGCAATCTGCTTTAGTACATTGTTGCCATGTCAATAAAGTCACTTCCGCTTCACTTAAATGTAAACAAACACATGTCATGATGAAGAAGCAAAGAAATAATATTATGAAAAATATCATTCATATTTATTTAATGATTCACCTTCCCGTTATAACTATTTTTTTTTTTTTATATTTTGATAGATTTAATTCATCAAAATATTTTGTTTAATATCAATGAAATGTTTATATCATCATCTACTCAGACAAAGAGAGAGAGAGAGAGAAAATGAACAAACTGTGGAGGATGTAGAGAAAAAATGGCAGAATTGAGAGGGAGAGCGAATCAAATTAATTTTGAAATTGAAATTATTTTTTATAGAATTAGAGGACATGGTAAACACTTTTTCCATGATGAATTTAGATTTCGTTTCGAATATGTATATAATTTCGTGTAATATTTGGCGCTTTTTCTGAATACAAAGTCATTAAATTAAATTCTCTCTCTCTCTCTCTCTCTCTCTCTCTCTCTCTCTCTCTCTCTCTCTCACGTTACTTAATTAATCCACGATTGAGGTGTCGATTGAATGATTGTATAAATTACGTGTAATATGGGATATAAATCAAATTCTTCTGAAAATGTAAGAATAATTTAACATAACTAGACGTACATCGCACTGGTGAACTCAAAAAGGGCTTTTCTGACTACACTGCATGATTAGGTGCTCGATGTTGACAAAACTACGCAACAATCAAATGACGTCCTATTTTTAACCGTTTTGATAATAAAACGCTAGCATCTTGTAAAGTATATAAATGCCATATGACAAAGTACATACATGCAGATTGTAATTGATTTCATTGATTTAATTACCTCTTCATTTTTTTTTATTTCATTTTTTGCAGGAAAACAGTACATAAGTATATGCTTAAGGACTTAAGAATTTTTATGCATACGAACCCTGGTATGTTGTTTCCATGGTTACACTGCAAAGTAACAATTAATCTCAATTTTTCTTATGTTTTCGGTGTTGCAAGGCCCTAAGGATGTATATATATGTGCCAGTCATGAATTTTATTGTTTTTCCTCAAGATAGTAGCATTAACCCAATCTTAACAACAGATTTTGCATGGTTACACTGTGTTACCATGGCAACCATGAAAGTTATTTTTAGAATAATATTGCCAATACCTAATTACTTAAGGTCAATTATTTTCATTGTTTTTCTTTGGTTATTGATCATGTTTGATCATGTAACATCTATCATTAGTGAATATATGAGCGTTTTCAGCATTTTTCAGCATCTAAAATGTATTCCAAATGTACCCATGGTCACCACTTACTTAGAGATAAATTCTAAATAGTTTCTTTATAGCATAAGTGGCATCAAGGTGTCATGTTTTTGTGAGAATGGTTTGTTTGTTTTTCTTAGTTTTATCAAGGCTTAATAAAGATTCAAAGTAACTGAAAATCTCAAATTTTTCAACTTTTCTGGCTGTTACCATGGCAACCAAGACACATAGCAACAAAATTTTATTTGATATATGTTTCTGGTATCAAGTTGTAATAAAGGGCAAAGTTTCATCAAAATCGGTGACCGTACGTGGCAAAGAAGTTTAAGTGGTTACAGAGAATCGCTCTTAAGGTCTCATCCGAAAGACCCGCAACTTTCACTTCAAAGTGCCGAGTGCTTGGCGAAAGAACAGTTGCTACCTATCTTTCATCGAGCTAGGTCAGTGATTCGAACACACGACCTTCGGATCATGGAGCAAGCGCTCTGCCGACTAAGCTACCGTGACGGCTATTTATTTCGAAATTCCTGAAATTAACCTTTCATTTCATACTCATCCATGTTTTTCTACAGATTCAAGCTGACTGAATATTTGATTTAACCCAGCCACCTCATACAATATAAAAAAAATTTCTCAAAGCAAAATGCCGGTACTGTCATTGGTTTTACGTGTATTTTTATTTGAACGACATTCACTGTTAACATGCCCCTCACAATATACTTTGCGCGAATCTTAAAGCTTAAATTGGCAACATGCGTTGGGGAGCTTGAGACAACAGTATCCCTCAACAAGGGTTGTCTGTCAAAGAAAGTGGACTATGAAAAGCTTAAAAGAACATAAACCTGAAGTATACACTAGTTCTTAAGAGGACTAGATAATTTTTGATAGTTGTTAGCTCAAGTTCTGGATATTTCTTAGCCTTTTATTTTTAGATATTAAACTGGGGTGTTCTCTTTGGAGAGTATTAGTCCTTTGGTACGGTTTTAGTTCAAAACCTGTCACTGAGATTGCCTTTAGTTTTAACAAATCTTTTCTTGCTCTTGCAGACACTTACTTTTGTCTGGACCAAAGAACCTTGTCCGCACATTCAACTTTGGAGCGCCCGTGCTAAGTCTTTTTGTGACAACCCAGAGTGGTACCACTGCTTGGAAAACCAAGCAGGAGTTATAAAGGAAAAATGTATTGCTCCCAGAAAAATAAGAGAAGGTATGGTCTGTGTCTTTTTTTTAATAAAGAAATGTCTTCCATAGATCCATGGTGTTTTAGTGCTGTATTTCTTGAAACAAATGGGTCTACACAACACATTATTGATTTGACGATATTCTTGATAACTGAAAAATCATTATGTATATATATATATATAAAGTGTTTTGCAACCATTCCAGGTCATTATCCAGTTATATTGATAGGAGAATCAGAAATAATAGAAAGACGATGCCCTCCCTCACTCTACCAACCAAATGGACTAATGTCAAATCAGTACAAATCAGTGACATGTATGTACGAAAAAGATGTGTGTGGTGATGATGGAGAGGAAGCTTGTGATGAAGGAAGTGACGTCAGTGACCGAATGTGTCGATGTGATTTCAGAAAAGGGTACAGGGCTTATGAATATTTACTGGAAAACCCGAAAATGAAATCATGTTATCAGCCAAGGTTTAAGGAAAGAGGATGTGTTATGCTTCCATGTGAAAAGGGAAGAGAACTCAACAAAGGCGAGAATTAATAGCTAAAATATTACCGTATTTATGTTTCAATGCTTAATTCTAATTATGCGAGAAAAGTTTAGTTATTTAAAGTGTAGAATGTTTGGTATTGTAACGATAAACTGAAACAATTGATTATAGTTGTGTTCTATGAGGTTAATCAAATGAGTTTATCAAATGATTATAAGAATAATACATCTTGATTCTGATGATGTTATATGAGGTAATTCAAATGAGGTTAGGATTGGAAAAAATAACACAAGTTATATTTGGTTTAAATTATTACAGCCTATCAGTGTGTACCAGTTTGTCCTTCTGGGTACTATAGATCAGAGTCTGACTTTAACTGTGTGCCAAGACTATCAATTCCGTAAGTAAGGTCGACAGACATTTAAAATACATATGTACTAAGATATGTCCACACAAATTCTATTGTGAATTTTTTTTAACTACATGTATAACTTTTAAACTAGTAAGTTTATTTAGAAATCCAAGCACAACAACAGAAACACCGAGCAAGAGTTCGACAATCAATAAACAGATTGAGGAACCTGCAATGACAGGTATTTTGCTGACTATTGGTAACTTACATTGAATTTACAGTATTGTTTTTTTTTATATTATTATACTAGTAATTACATGATTTCTGCTTTTTTTTCTTTTTAACCAAACTCCTATCTCCCAATTTTGGTGTGCCTTTATAGCTTAATGTTATTTTTCAAATCAAACAACCATTCTGAGAGTATTGCATTACCAATACTAGTCCCCTACCGGGAAATGTAATCTAGTTCCCGTTAAAAATTGAAAATGCCATAATTCCGTCAAAAATCAATGAAGCGCAACGAATTGCAAACTTAGTCTATAACTCATCAAGGTAAAGTCACATACCAAAAATCAGCACAATATCTGCAAGTGATTAGAAAAAAATTGCGAAAAACCCTGAAAAATTTAAAAGGCCGATATTCTGTCAAAAATCATTGAAGCGGAACGAAATACAAACTTGATCTGTTACCAGGGATGGGGTAATTGATAAAAGTAATTGTAATTGAGTGTAATTAATTACATTTTTCAAAGTAATCGGAAGTAATTTGTAATTGACCATTTTTTCAATTACTTGTAATTGAATATACATGTAATTAACTACAATGAACAAAATACCCTGTAATTTCAATTACTTTTCAATTACATTTCAATTACTTTTCAATTATATTTCAATCACTTTACATAATACATATTATGTGTATTTAATAGGAAAATATTTCCAACACAGTCACATATTACAATTATTTTAATTTATTCAAAGAAGCCCATCTTTTTTTTTTAATTTAAACTCTTTTATATCTCAATAAATGAATTTGATATATTGGCTTGTTTATAAAAATATTAGTTTGTTTAATGATTATAATGCACATAAAGAATTAATACTAGTCAGTAGTTTAATGTTTATCAAAAATTTTGTTCTACCTCTTCATTGGTATAGACATGAAACATTTCAATTTTTTGTTGTTTGATTATCAAAAAAGAATAGAAAATATTTAAATGTGTCATTAAGACCTGCCTTGTTGCCCTTCAACTCCCAGCTGTAAATTGCTATCAAAACAACCCTCCAAAATTTTATATAAATTTATACCAAGCTTTGTTTAAATTCAAAATTATGACCATTAGAAGTGATTTATTAAATACTATGAAGAATGTTCTTCTATTTATATACATGTACTTCAAAAAAGAAATACATATTGAATCACTATTTTAAATTTAAACAGATCTTACATATACATGTATGCATTTGGCATCTGAAATAGTTATTACATAATACAAGTATTATTGGTCAACATTTGAAACTAAAGGTGTTTAGCTTGCCTACCTGTAGCTGAAATATTTTTTTAGTATTTTATGGTTGATTCATACAGTCTTGAAAATTTGCTTTTAATCAAATTTCATAAAGACAGTCAATTAATTGATAAATGTACATGTAGGACTAGGTCTTATGTTGATGAAATACACAAACATGACAGGCACCTGATATTATTTATTTTAAATATTCCCATCACAGTGTACCTTAAATTTACATGTATTTGTTCTTCAAGATTTTTGAAAATGAAACAAAAGTAATTGAAATGTATTTAATTACATTCTTCAAAGTAATTGAGAGTAATTAATTACATTTGTAAAAATCAATGTAATTCCTAAGTGAAGAAATATTAATATAGAAAGCTAAAAGACATTCACTTTTTACAAGGATACCCACTTCCGCCCCAGCCCGGGGTTGAACTCTCGACCTACGGGAATCTGTCTCCTAGCAGTACAGAAACAGCGCGCTAGACCGCTCGGCTATCTAGGCAAGTCACTTCCATTCTCAATGACCGTGTAGTGTAGGAGAGCGCGCGCGAGAAGTTTCATCGGCATCGAAAGCAAGTTTTTTGACTTGTCTAGATAGCCGAGCGGTCTAGCGCGCTGTTCCTGTACTGCTAGGAGACAGATTCCGTAGGTCGAGAGTTCAACCCCAGGCTGGAGCGGAAGTGGGTATCCTTGTAAAAAGTGAATTTCTTTGTGCTTTCTATATTAATTTTTCTTCACTTAGGGCAGTTATGTTAGTTTAAGAGTTGTAAAATGTGCTTTATAAAAAAAAATTAATTTCATTACAACGCGTATTGGTAACGATCCTCTAATAAAACTTATGTCCAAATAACTGTATTTAACTTCCATTCTCAATGACCGTGTAGTGTAGGACAGCGCCGCGAGAATTGCATCGGCATCGAAATTAAGTTTTTTGACTTGCCTAGATAGCCGAGCGGTCCTGTACTGCTAGGAAACAGATTCCGTAGGTCGAGAGTTCAATCCGGGCTGGAGCGGAAGTGGGTATCCTTGTAAAAAGTGAATTTCTTTGTGCTTTCTATATATATATATATATATATATATAGGACAAAGAAAAAAGTTATGAAGTCATAAAAAGAAAGGAAATAGAGAAACAAAAAACAAAAAAACTAGCACTGCAACTAAACTACCAAACAACATTTACATATTTACGATGTTACATGTTTAATTTGAAAGTTTATAATCAATTATTAAGTAAAAAGTATCTATTTAATAGATCCGAGACATAGGATATACAGTTTTGTCGGTTTTTCTAGGTTTTATACAGAAGGGAGCTAATCAAAGAGATAGACTCCTATTAATTTTGTTATCAATTTTGTCAGTATTTAAGTCTATATATCTCTCTGAATCCTTTTAAAAATATAAATAATATAAATAATTTTAAAGCATACACTAATATATTGATTCATGTCACCTTTCGTACGTACGTTATTTTATTCTAGACATTACTGTATTAAGTATATTTTCTCACTTTCCATTGTCAGCCCTTAGCGGGGCCCTCCCTTTTTAAAAATTAAATGAATTGTTATCTTTCAAAAATATGTTGAATATCTTCCTTGTTGATTTTCTTTATTAATGAACTGCAAACATTGCAAATTCTTCAGCGAAATTCATCAAGCTCTCTCGAACTGGTCATACGTACAGTATCTTTTCCTTTACAGATCAAGATACTGATGACAACACTGCTACTTATGTTGCTATTGCTGTTACCACCACCAGTACGTTAATGATTTTGATGTTCTTGGGAAGTAAGTATTCAGTTACTTCATACATAATTGTTTTCATTAGTTAAGACATTTTATCTCATACGTGTGGTGGATACTAACCTTAAGATTAACCTATGCTTTATCCATGGGTATGCTTTATCAATAGCACTTCCGGTTTTGACACAACCCCTCGCTTCAAAATGTAAATTCATCGAAACTGTCTATTTGTGAAAAAAATTGCGTTATCAAAAAATACTACTAATAAAAAAAAATGTTCGCTTAAAGCATGAAGACTCGTTTTACCTCAATGGATTGTCTTTTTACTGGCAACTGCGATAACGGATGTTACCCCCTCCCCATCCCACCCCACCCGGAAAAACGTTAGGCCTAGCAGTAAAATTGGTGCAAGATTCATTTGATCATACAGAAAATTTTAGTCACTTTCAACAAGCTTTCTTACATTAGACAATATAACTTACCCTAGATCTACAACTGGGCCTAGCCTATAGCACCGTACACAGAATGATCATGATGTTGAACAGCTCAGAGGAGGAATCAACGGTTCTTTGGTCCTTACACAACAGTGTACAACTTCCAGTCAAAAGTTTGTATCAAAATAAATTTCCCAACAGATTGTCACATTCCTTTTAAAAGACACTGCAAATATCATTCCAAGATTTCATATTTTGTATCTTTCGGCGTGTTATGATCAACGTCAACAGTGCAACGTCATCAATTTACGCGTCATCGGTTTGGGTAGAATAAATATGTGGAGATAACGAACAGTATTCCAGCTCAAAAGTCCATTAAACATTACAAAATAGGAGCAGAGCAAACACGGACCTCTAAGACATCAGAGGTGGGATCAGGTGCCATGCAGGAGTGACCATCCCCTGCCGACCGGTCACACCCGCCGTGTGCTCCTTGTCATGATCGGGGAAAATAACAGAAAAATCCGTCGACAATTCAGTGTGTAAATAATGGCCTAACAATTAGTATGAAAAAAGTCAGTCAGCATTTGACTTAATGATAGTTTGTATTTGCTGACTAGGTCATTGTATCTACCATAGAACTTACGAAATAATGACTGCTGATGTTCTTGTTTCATCAACTTGTTTGTTAATAACTTACCTCGTTTTAGAAATTGTTCATACGTAGAGCATGCTCTTGCGAATCGAATCAATTGAGAGATATAAACTCAGTATGCAGGTGATAAGGGTATATTGCTGCATAGGTAAGGGAAGTTGACGATTGAAAAGTTAAAGTCATCACGTTTATCATAAAGCTTTGTTGTTAGATTACCAATAACGTCTTTTTCTATGAATGGAAATAACCATTGTTAATTGACAATACGTCGTCGATATATCTAAATGTTGAGTTGAAGGCCACACAGGCGCGGATCCAGGATTTGAAGTTAGGGGGGGGGCGCAAGAAGTAGGCAGGGGGTCTGGGGGCCGCCATGAGGCCCCCAGTGGGTCCAGGGGGCGAAGCCCCCAGAAGCTCCTGGATTCTAGAGATTTTGAAGGGTAAAAATGAGGTCTACCAAGAAGACATTTTTACATTTTCTCGACGAAACTATGATTTACGCTAACTTTGACAATTTTAGGGGGGGCGCGCGCCGGGTGCGCCCCCCCTTAAATCCGCCACTGCCACATCAAGTGTTTTCTTCTTTTCTCGTAAAAGATTTTGAACAAATTCTGCTTTATATGAATACAAAAATAGGTCTGCTAATAACGGGGCGCAATTCAACAGTTTCACAGGGGTTATATCAAAGTTTTTGTTAAAAACGAAAATCTTATGAGATAAATAGAACATCTATGATTGTGTGATTTGATATTTGGTTTATCCAACTCGTTGAAATGGTGTATATTCGCTCGGCAAGCCTGGCGAATATACACCATTTCAACACGTTGGATAAACCAAATATCAAATCACACAGTATATCGCCAAACCCCCCCCTAACTCCGTCACTTTCGGGAAACTCCGCGCTGTTTGTAAACGCTTGCGATTGCGACGTCATTTTTTACATGCTGAAAATCTACAATCAAATGCCGAGATACTTTAACAGTCAAGTTCAAGAATGTCTCAAAAATAAATAACAATTACACATGATCTATTGTATCTATCATATTTTATGTGAAATCAGTAAGTACTATTTCCTTTATGCGCTATTCCATGGATACCTCCGACATGTGCGTCGATATGGTCATTTTACATGTCAGTCATATTTATGAAGGTCCTTGCCAAAGGGTTAATATGACATACCATATTGAATACGGTTGAAAATATTTAATTTTTCGTCTCAATTTCCCCTAATATGCTACACGTAGCGTGACGTTATTACATATAAAATACGTTATATTAACGTTATTTTTTCTGTTGTTGATACTTTTCCTAAAATACAATTTAATACTATTTGAAATCGTCAAAACTAATTTTCTATGTTTACAAGCTTAAGATGAAGGGAGAAAAAACTAAACTGGAAAAAAAATAATACGTTGACATATTGTAGAGGGCCCTAGTGACGGAGTTAGGGTTCACTGAACGTAAAGTAGATGGATGTGATACGCGTTCCATTTATAGTAGTTTTGTATGAGCCCAACTGCTGAATTTTTTGAAATAGTTCTGAAAACAATGTTTTTAAATTCATTGTTAAGTGTAGCAAACAAGAAACAGATCAAAAAAATAATTCAGAGAGTAACCTGACGTGTTTTCCGCTGATGGTGACGGAGTTTGGGTAGAAGGGAATAGATATCCTCTATAAATCTTGACCATAGATAGCAGATAATTTCAAACTATTATGTTCATTCATAATGTAATGGCGATGGAAAAGAAATTATACCGTCTGTTATTTGAAAATAATGATATCTTTTACCAATAAACAATTTTCAATTGCTATTTAATACATATAAATGACTAATCTCATTAGCAATTGAAGATTGTTAATGAGTGGACTACAATATGTTTCTTTTAAGATTGAAGTATTTATATTTGATTTCTTACTATTTTGATTTCTTTTTTTAAGTTAAAAGTCGATTGCCTTGTGAATTCAATAAGAAGATTAGCATATTTGGCGTGTGATCTGCAGGAATCACGTGTACGAAACATTTAAAGTGACGCTTCATATAAATAATAAACACCTATACTATAAAAGGGTTTAGTTAAAAGCAATTACAAAGTAAATGTGTATATTGAAGTTTCAGCAGGTTGGAAGAATTGCTTTTGGTCTCGGTTCAATGAACCAAAATTTATGTATTTCAAAATTTTAATAAATCATTTCATAAAATTAAGCTGGAAAAAGAATGGATTATTTGCATACAAAATTCGTGTAATTAACCTCCATGCGATGATCGAACCAAGAAGATTTCGATTCCAATGCACTGGACGGGTAACGCATACTATACAGAGCTATCATTGCTACATACACAATGTGGATTTTAAGACGACAATGAAGCCCCGCATTTACACACAATGGAATGTTTTGGTGGTTCATTTTTCATTTTCAGTTCATTTTTAGGATCTTTGGGTTTCTCTCCATTTTTTTTTTTTTTTTTTTTTTTTTTTTTTTTTTTACTAATGTTTGATCGTTTCTTTGAATTAAAATACACGCAAATAACGTTTCAAAATCATGGAGAGATTACCCAGAGAGCAATATTTTAGAAAAACGTGTTTAAAAATGACTTATCTGGCCAATTTTCAAGTTGTTTTTTAACAAATAAAAACAATATCGTTAAAATATTTCCATTTCTAATTTTGTAGGAACCCGATAAATCAAAAGAATGCTTAAAATTTCATGTGACAGATCAATGACATTTTCACTTTTCAAGTGCGCGCACCTCATTCCTGCCGAATGGTAGTCAAATGCGCACTTATTCTTCAAATTTTTAATACAAACATATAATGCTGTATGGATGAAATCTATTACTTGGGTTCTGAGGTCTGCCTGAAAATTTATTAAGGATTTAAAGATCATTTAGTAATCTGGCAGATGGTGATTGTAAAAGTTGGTCAATGGAATAATATTATGGATGAGGTTTTCCCTAGTAAAAAAATTACTATAATTACATGTAGCTATTGTTAACTTTAGTAGGTACTTTGATTTACTTCCAAACTTTACTGTAGATTTTTTTTGAGATGTCAAATCTTAAAATCTCTTTAATTCGATAACAGTGATGTAAAATTTGGAAATAATATTTGAAAATACAAGTAATTATTCCATTTAATATCACAAATGTACATGAATGGATTGGAGAACATCAAATATAGCAATCCATTGTAAAAAAAAAATGGATTAATATAGTAAAAACTTTGATATACTGTAAAAAAAAAACTTTGAAACATAGAAAACTATACTTATAACACTTAATTTTTTTTTTTTTTTTTTTTTTTTTTTTTTTTTTTTTTTTTTTTTTTTTTTTGGTTGGTTGGTTGGTTGGTTTTTTGGGTTTTTTATTTAAGCATAAATAATTGAATGAATGAAAGCAAGAGCTTTAATTTTCATCTAGTGTATTGTTACATGGAGCTGTTAGACACTTTTTCATACAAGGCGCTCTTTGAAATGTTCCTATATTAAACAATCATAAATTTCAGTGTAAAACTTTTCTTCTTTTCAGTTTATTGTTACTGGAAAAGAAAATGTGAGTATTTTTTTCTTCTCTCTAAAGTCAATAATTGCAAAATATTTTGCACTAGTCATTCCATTAAAAAAGGTTTACTTAGGTAGTATGTTCATATATATATATATATATATATATATATATATATATATATATATATATATATATATGATACAAGCAGATATGAGGGTTGTCCTATAATTCCGTACACAAGTGTAGTTTTGTAGGAACGCGGCGTCATAAATTAATGAAAATTTGTACATAGATTAATCCATCAATTACTAATAAATTTACGGACAAACAATGAGTAATTACAAAGATTTACCCCAGGAACCCAAAAGTACAATTCAAATTCGGTATATAATATTTAAAACCTTACCAAAAAATATTTACCACTAATAATTTTGGGAATAGAAATAAAAATTCTTAAAATTGTATTATCAAATACCTTTCCTCAAGTTTTGGTGTTTTTGCTCTCACGAATATGAATTTTATTAAGTTATATATCCACGTGCACCGGTTTGAAATCTGGCCCCAAGACCATAAATTGAGAACAAACTTAAATCAAAATTTCAAATCGATATAACTTTCAAAATAATTATGATTATAAATTAAAATTTTCTTCATATGTTTGAATTGAAGAGCTATGCACAATTGTAAAGTTTTAAGCTAATACGTTAAATGGAACTTAAGATATTAAAAATCATATTTTTGACTTAAGTCTGTTCTCAGATTATGGTCTTGGGCCCTGACTTGTTGAAAAATGACGGCTGCGTTGAAATAGGCGGTGCACTGGACTGTGATCAAATGTTTTGATCCTGGATTCACTCCTACAGAAATGCATGTCATAAATGTTTGGTACTAATAGAAGTGTTAATTTTCTAATCCTTAGTATGTTAAATGACTAAAACGATTTTTTTAAGTATATGAAGAAGAGAAACTAAAAAAAAAAGACTGGCCGAAAAAACGGACAAGAGCGACACTGCGCAACTCCAATAAAGAAAACAGACGAAAAATCCTTAGAAACATTGGTTTTTCAAAATATTATTTTATACATGTGCAGTGTATATGCACATACTTTGTTCATATATTTTAATGTTTCATAATATCATAATGATTAAGAAATTCTACATTTATATCTATAATCTCTATGATTAATTAAAGAATTTGTTTCTTGTAATTACTGTAGAATACCCCCCCCCCCCCCCCAATAATCTAAACCGTAGACAGTAATTTTTTGAGGTCGGAGATTGCTCTAATTGTTTTCAAGTAATCATGTTAAAACTTCGTAAATTATCTGCAAACAGCACACTTTATCCACCCAGAAAATTTTATAAAGTAACAACAATTTCTGTAAAAAATATGATCTCTGCCTAAGAGATTTTGGGAAAATCCTTGTATTTGTTGGTTATTGGTAAATACACTCACATTCATTAATATTTTTAGATTACAAAGAAACAGGATTTGATAAGAATCGCAAGCCTAGTGTCACTTCTTTAATATCTTTAGAAGGTATGTATATGTAACATGTATATCAGTATGTATATTTGTATCGTAATTTACTTTAGTGTTATAAAAGATGTGTTAGTTTTTTGTGGGTTTTTTTTTTACAAGTATACTTGTTAAATATGTGTACTATATACTAGAAAGTTTTTTAAGCCTACAATAAATAACAGATATTAAGAGAAATTCAGCAGAAAGAGATAAAATCTTTTCTATAACGAGCAGAGGTACACAAACACTGAAACCTCTTTTCCATGTTTACTACGCTAGTACAGTTCACACTTTACAGGAATTTTTTTTTTATCAATGTCTTTTAAAATTTTTTTTTTTTATAAATGACATTAGCTGTTAAATTTCTCCAACTACTTTAGTTGATGGAGGGGATGGAGGAGAAAATCTCCATAAACCCATTGGTGACAGTTTTCCATACAGTGAAATTGATGTTATCTCTGAACATAATGTGAAGGAGAGCATTGGTTGCATAAAAGTTGAGCCACACTCGGGGGGTAAAGGAAATGGAACTGGGTTTAGAGTTGGAGAAAAATATGTCATGACTGCGTACCACGTTGTGCAGGATGTATATGGTAACACATGCTTAATTTTAAATTTCTGGCTTAGGTTTATGTGTACTTGTTAATTTCCATCTTGTACTTAAAAAGTTTAGAACGTTGGCAATGTCTCAAAAATTCTTTAGCCAATTTTTATGAATTTTGTAACAGGGTATATTTGGGCCAAGAGCTTTCATGTATACTAATGATGCGGACCTTAAACAAAGGGAAAGAACCAGGGTAATATAAAAAGTGGTGGTTTCTAAAAATCTTCTCGAGATCAATTTATAATCAACTTACACATAAGAATGAGAATTTATTGTAGATTCAAAATTGTTCAAGTAATTATCTAGGGCAAAGTGCTGAGACTCTAGGTCACCTCAGATTTGACTTAAAATTATATTTTATTAAAACTGATATTTTGCCCTCTTTGAGGACCAGGATCATCAAATCTTATCAGTTGATGAACCTAAGGGCCTTGGCTTACGTTGATCTAAAGCAAATCACGATGACCTACTTTTTAAACTTTGCAGTAATTCATTTTCAAATTAATGTTGATGAAGCTAAGAATCATCAGAACTTGTCAGTTGATGCATTTTGGGGCAATGGAGAGTGTAAAGTAAACATTACATGTAGGTCACCATGATCTACCTTCAAAGTTTTATGGCTATTCATTTTCAAAACATTTTAGTTAAATATTATGGATAAAAGAGGTTTAGAATCATCAAACTTGTTCAATTGATGCATCTTAGGGCTTCCGGATGTGTTACTTAAAAGTACGACACAACCTTGGTATTTAATGCATCTAAGATGTGCCAACTAAAACATAGGTCACGGTGATCTACTTTCTGATATTCATGACTTATCTTTAAACCTTTATACATGTATTTTGAAGAGTATGACCTTTAAGGTTTCCAAACCTAAACAGTTAATGCATTTTGAAGCCCTAGAATGTGTAATTTAAAAGTAAGTCACAGTGACCTATTTTTGACTATATTTTGTCAAAGCTTACTGCATGTAGCTGTAATTCTAGGAGGTTTAGGATCATCAAACCTTGTCTGTTGATGCACCTTGGCGCCTTGAGATCTATTAACTGAACAGTAAGTCTCGGTACTCATTTTGGGGATCGTCTTCAGCCAATCACAGTTGATTCCATATGAGGCATCCGGCGGATTTAACTAGCTGCGTACACATTACACCCTGCACTACTTTGTTTACCATGCACTGACATCTTCATCCAAATCTTTTATAATATATTAGGTACTAATGAGCATTGTTTTGATGCATTTACCTTAAGATGCAAACGTTTATACAGTTACATTTTGAATTTTCTTCACGTGTGTTATAATTTTATTCGTAAGTACAGTTCCCTTAAGGGTGAAGTTTATTCGTTCATCAGTACTTATGTGTAGGTCACTGTGTATTACTCTCTGAATTTCACAACTTGTCATTGTAAAATTCTTAAATATACATTTTAAAAACTATGGCATTTTTGGCCACCGATGACCGAATGGTTAATGTTTCGCTTTGTGAATTCAAAACTAGGTCACTCAGGTCACCTTTCTGGTTTCGTCCGTCGTTCGTCGGTCGTATACTTTGAACATTTTCAGCTTTTTCTATAGAAACTGCTGAACCAATTTTAACCAATTTTGATATAAAGTATCCATGGATTAATAGAAACATAAGTTCTGAATTTCATGGTCTCTGTCTCCATGTGACCTGAGGGGTGCGCCAAAACCATAACAATTAATGTAATCTTCAAAAACCTTCCTCAAACATGGACATCAAGTTGTCGAACTGTTGGCATGATTATTACGAGCATTAAGCCCTCTATCAAAATCTTGAAATTTATGGCCCAAGGGCCAGGGATTCTAGTGTTAGGATGGGTTTCTATTGGTCACATAATGAAATGAGTAATTTCTATTTAAAAAGTCTTGGTTCTCTTCTCCTGGGTACTAAGCAGACAAACGAAGTGAATCACTGAATGGTTATAATGAGCAATGGTGCTTCTATCTAAATTGTGAAATTCACGGCCCTCGATCATTGGTTTTGGTGTTGTAACGAAAATGCGGTGTTTTTTTTTAAATCTTCTTTTCTGCTCTGGTGTTCTAAGCAGAAAAACTAAACGCAAAATTTTACTAAGCAAGGGTGCGTCTACATAACTTGTGAAAATCATGGCCCTGGGTCAGGTACTCTGATGTAAAAAAAAATATTCTCTGCTTTTTGGCATCTAGCCAGCAAATCAAGTAAATATTTCTAATGAGCAAAGGTGGGTGATTTAATGTCAATAAATTATTGAATAAAAGAATTATACAGAAAAATTAAGTATAATACAAAAAGTACTCTTAGAGTTTTTAGTGACCAAGAAGATTTTGTAAAAAAAAAAAAAAAAAAAAAAAAAAAAAAAAAAAAAAAAAATAGAAAAAAAAAATTAACAATAATAAATAAATAAACATAATGTGAAATGCTTTATATTTAAATTTACTTTAAGTATCAGTTAAAGAGTAGAAATTAATCAAAAGGTTCCTGCTGGGTTTCAGTCTGATTACACTAGTTTCATGCTGAAGCACTATAGTTCTTATTAAGATTGGTGACAAATTAGAGTGTAGTTAGCACTGGCATATGTAGGCATGAATTTAAAAATACATTCAGACTGTTGCAGATTATCAGAAAAACTATTTTGATGATCCTTGGTCGCCCTATTTCTCTTGTTTGTGAGACACATATCTACCTCTTTCAGTTTATTTTTGCTTTATTAATTGTTTTATGATAATCAAATCGCCATTCTACGGATCCTTTACAGGGTTATAGATTACTCAGGTGACTTGGTTTTTATGCGTTTTTGTTTTTGTTTTTATGGTGATTCTTATGGTAAGATTTCTTCTTTCTGTCATTTATTGCAATTGTTATAACCCTGCTTTAAAAGTGGGGATATAGGATGGGTGTGTCCATCCATGTGTCCTCCTGTACGACCTTCCATACGTCCGTAGCACTTGGGGATACCCATCTTTTATCAGCAACCCCTCCTGTACCACTGAATAAAATTTAATGTGACTTTTACAGAATCTTTATCATATAGTGTCATTATGTACTTTTTTTTTATTTGATAAATATTAATTTTAGGGTTTCCCATAGCAAAAACATGGGCACTGCCATTCTTTCTCTAACATTAGGGGTACCCACCCCTGTACTACTGAATAAACTATTTAAAAATCTTTATAATATAGTAACATTAGTGCCTCCTATTTTTCCTTTTGATTGGACAGACATATGTGGTTTCCAATAGCAAAACATGAGCACCACCATTCGTTCTATAACTTTGGGAGTACCCATCTCTTATCCGCAACTCTTTCTATACCATTGAATAAAAATTAATGAGTCTTTCAGAAAATCCTAGTTACATCATGACATTGTGCCCCTCCTATTTTATGTTCTTATCCATTACATATTTAGGGTAGCTAAAGCATAAAAGGACATTATCATTATGGGAGAGTGGGTACTCATTTTGTGAGCTCATCGCTCAAAGTCCCATTTCGCCTTAACTGTGAAATTTAGTATTCCCATTTCGCCTTAGTAAGCTCTGAGGTGAATTAAGGCGAAATGGGAACCTGTATAAACATCTCATTTAGTCTAAATATTGTTTGTGTAACAATTATGAATCTTACATTAAGGTATTAGTAATTTTTTGAAACTCTTGTGGTGGTAGAGTTGACATAAAGATTATAAAGTTTTATTTTAAATACTATTTATTATCATTTTATATTTATTTATTTTTACATATGTTAAGAGTGATAAACAATGATATATACATTTTACAATGAAAATCAAGGAGCATATTGTTAAAGAGAACATTATTGGAAATCATTATTTTTATAAAATATATAAGAAATGATTCATTATTATTTCATTCACAGTATTCATAAATTAGTTCCCATTTTAAGTTGAATCTCCTTTTTTATTTTCAAATGTACAATGACTAAAGAATCATTTTAAATCCAAAATACTGTGTAATTAACTAATCATTATGAAAACACCTCATCAATTTTCATGGTTTGTTTTTACAATACTATTATAAAGAAATTTCCAGTTTGCCCTGGTACTTTTTTTACCTTTTTCTTACCTATATTTCACAGTTAAGGAGAAATGGGAACACACCAATACATACATATATATATATATATATATATATATATATATATATATATATATATATATATATATATATATATATATATATATATATACATGTATATATATATATATATATATATATATATATATATATATATATATATATATATATATATAAAATCTCTCAGTACAACCTTCATTTACTATAAGTACAATCTTTTTTTTCTCTGTCTTAATATGTATTATATGCTTATTTGATTATATATATGTTTTAAAACATCTTTTATGAAATCAATGAATAAAAAATAAATTAATATTTAAACATGCATATGATTCAGAAAACTTTTGGAAGGAGCTACATAAAAGATTGAAAGATGGGGATCACGAATGTAAGAAACTTTCAAAGCAGTTTGGTAATCGGAAATCTACGCCGGAGGATGGGGAATGGAGTCTGACAAATTTTATAGAGTCTCTTGACACTGGCACACAAAGTAAGCTTTGTTATGTAGAATGTAGCTACATTCATTTTTCTTGATTTTGAACATTTGTTTTAACTATTTAATACAAAAGGGTTTGAAACATTTTTTGAATCTAAGTTCTTTCCATCCCTCTTTTAAATTTTTTTCGTTACCATCTTTAAAATTTGTTTGGTTGTCCACTCCCGACCGACTGATTGAAAATATTTTTTAACGTCCAGGAAACAATATTTTTTTTACACTTCGAAACAGGCCTGTAGCGACGGTTTCAACAGGTGGGGGGGGGGGGGGGAGGGGGGGGCAACTTCCAAAGAAATTTGACAAGCTCAAATCCATGTAGAAAGTGGTATATAGTAATGTTCTGATCAACAGATTTACAATTATATTTTGTTTATTTTGCTTAATCTGATACTTAGTAGTACATTTTTTTCAGTTTTGTTGAGAACAGTTGATCATATAAAAATCTTTCCATTTTAGTGAATTTGAAAGATATTGGAATAGAAATGGTGACACACAGCTGTTGTATAACGTTCGGATGTGTTGGGGAGAAAAAAGGAGAGTCTTTTACGTTTAGTTATGACGCACCTTTTATTTCGACAAAACATGATGTTGCAATCCTGGAACTCACCACAAAACCTGGTCACCAGTTCCCAGCTCAACTTAACTTTGCCAACTTCAATACACCCGCGAATCGCTTACATGTTGTAGGTCACCCAGGAGGTGGAGAATTAATATTTGATCCGTCATGTAGCGTAATATCTGATCAAATCAAACTCGAAAGAACCAAAGAGGAAGCAATAAAACATTTTATCTTCCTTGGAAAGACAAGATCACAAGTTGAAAAAGAGTATAAGGAATGTAAACTTTCATCAAATCATATCCTCTTTCATTGTTCAAAGAGTACTGCCCATGGTGCTTCAGGGTCACCTTTAATTCGAATTGCAAATGGAAATCGAAAGCCCGAGGTAATCGGTGTGCTTTTAAAGGGATATCCAAAGATGTACTACAACGATTTTCTAAACAACGAAAAAGCTATCGAACACCCAGAGTTATTGATAGAGTCAGGAATAACTGTGGAAATGTTGAAGTCTTTGTTAAAACCACATGAATTATCTAAACTTGCTCAAGATATTTTCAGTTAATTTGATGTAAAAAGTTGATGCGCCGTAGAAATGTATAAAGGGTAATTTCTTCTTCACGAAACTTTTGCCATTTGTAGCCTCAAATCTTACACGTCTTTGATGTCATGTAAATGTCATGTAAATAAATGTATTTTGATTTCTTGTTCGCGACAAATAGATGATGCATATTGAAGATTTATCATTGTAAATTCATATTCTTTTAAATTCAGATACTTAAATTTCAAATCTATCATATTTTAAGCTTTAACAAAGGTTACTCTGTGCAATATATCCGACAAACATGGTGTGAGACTAATTCATTAAATTGCTTTGGATTACTTGTAAAAGCATTTATGTCCTATTTTTCCTCTTAGGTCTAGAACATAAAATGAATAAGTGAAAAGGCCAGATACATGTACATGTCATGTTTTATTTAAATGAAAATAAATAGCAAATCATTAATATTCAACATTCTTTGAACACAAACTGCCGAGATTGTCATCAATAACACATTTTTTTCAAGGTGGGCATATTTTGATCTTATTTTTTTATATGGAATTGAAAACAAAAAACTACATGTAGTATGTAATATTTTTTATTTTCCCTAAAGATTTTCTCTTACCCGCATCTCACTTATACCTCTGAATGAAATTACACTGTGTAAATGAGATTTTAACACAATTCTGTCATGATTGTGCACCTCCTAATTTATGTTCTAATCTGACAGATATGTTGGGTTCCAGTAAAAACTGGACCTAGCCATTATATTCATACGAGAGCGGGGGTTGTGAGCTCAATGCTCAAGTACTTTAAGGTTTTTCTATTACTGTCAACAGAAAAATAAATGAAAATTTAAATGTTATGGTCTACCCTTCAACTACCGTGAGCTGACAATAGAAGAAAAAATCATCTCAACCCCAAGGTACAAGTTTCGAAGAGTGCATGTATGCAAATTTAGGGGAAAACGTTAAGAACTTAGAAACATGACTGGGTCCATTTGGGAGAAAATATTACTTTGATCATGGAAAAGAACAGGGTTATATCAATAAAAGAACTGCGGTAAAAATTAATCTCTTTCGTCTCTATCTCCAAAAACGGTCATGCAGCATCATAGAAATTCTATCGCAAAATTACGCAGTACCAACAGAGACTGACAAGTATTCCTTATAATGTAAGTGTATCCTATGCATTTCCTTATTGCGTAAGGAGAAAAAAACAAGAAAATTACACTAATGTCGATCCCTTAGCATCCATGTACGAATTGTTTTCTCGGTGCAAACTTTTTTTCCAAAATCGTCGGAGGTGAGCACATGTAGAATGTTTGTTTATTCAGCATATGACATCAATTGTTCCATTTGCTGGATTCTTTGGATGGAATCAACTGTGTCCACCAGCAGCCAATCAAAGACACTATTGCAGATTTGTCCAACGAATTGAATTCTGGATAAAATAAAATAAATAAAAGCATATTTGTTGTAATAAGAAAAAGAAATTTTCAGGGTTGAATTGAAAAAAAAAATAACCAGTATCCTTTAAAAAACTTATGGTAATCATATTTCCTTTTCATTTCAACCAAAATATGTTAACAACAATTTATTGTTGTATTCGGATTATATAAAAGACATCAATTTTTTATGCCCCCGGATCGAAGGATCACGGGGGTATATTGTTTTTGTCCTGTCTGTCTGTTTGTCTGTTTATATGTTTGTCCGTTTGTCTGTTTGTCTGTCTGTTGTCAACTTGCCCATAACTTTTGATTGGTTGGAGCTATGGCTTTCATATTTCACATGTGTATTCCTTGTGACAAGACCTTTCTTTGGGTACCATCATATTTGACCTTTTGACCTTGACCTTGGAGTTTGACCCACTTTTGCAAAATTTTATGAGACTTTAACCTTGGCCATAACTTCTGAACAGTTGGTGCTTGGGGTTTCAAACTTCACATGTGTATTCCTTGTGACAAGGCCTTCCTTTGGATACCAACAACTTTGACCTTTTGACCTTGACCTAAGAGTTTGACCTACTTTTGAAAAACTTTAACCTTGGCCATAACTTTCGAACAGTTGGTGCTTAGGGTTTCAAACTTCACATGTGTATTCCTTGTGACAAGATCTTCCTCTGGATATCAGACACTTTGACCCTTTGACCTTGACCTAAGAGTTTGACCTACTTTTGAAAAACTTTAACCTTGGCCATAACTTTTGAATGGTTGGAGCTAGGGCTTTCATACTTCACATATGTAATCCTTGCGACAAGACCTTCCTTTGGATACCAACCACCACTTTGACCTTTTGACCTTGACCTAGGAGTTTGACCTACTTTTGAAAAACTTTAACCTTAGCCATAACTTTTGAATGGTTGGTGCTAGGGCTTTCATACTTCACATATGTAATCCTTGTGACAAGATCTTCCTTTGGATACCAACCACTTTAACCTTGACCTTGACGTTTGACTTTTATTTAAAAAACTTTAACCTTCACCATAACTTTTGAACAGTTGTATCTAGGTCTTTCAAATTTCACAGGTGTATTCCTCGAGACAAGACCTTTCTTTGGGTATCAACATTTTTTATCTTTTGGCCTGGATTTTGACTTGCATTTGAAGAAACTTTAACCTTCGCCATAAGCTGCCATACGGGGGCATCAGTGTTTCACAAACACCCCTTTTTTTTTTTTTTTTTTGTTTGTTTGTTTGTTTGTTGTTTTTTTGTTTTTTTTTTTTTTGTAAAGCATGATATGGTACTAACAATTGTACAAAAAATCTATTAAGTTGGTTTTACATTGCAATCCGAATGCAATAGTGATGTTCTCAAAATGTATAAATCATATTGTTAGTAAATGTTATAGGGAAAAGAACAGTAACATTTTTCCAAACATGTCAAATATTGAATTATAATATTGAAAATTTACATTTTCCTTTGAAAATAATATCACACAAAAATTATGGAAGTGTACTCTCTCTCTCTCTCTCTCTCTCTCTCTCTCTCTCTCTCTCTCAGTATTGGAGTTCGAGCTTAAAGTTAAATGAAATTACAATTATAATATGGGCTTTTCCCACGTTAGATTTTTAATCCCAACCTTAATTTTTAAAGTTAAAATCTCGAACTTCAAATTAAAAACAAATCCAACTTTAATCTTGGGTTTTCTGTCCTTGAAGCTAAAGGATCCAAGTTTAATTGCTAACAGTGGAAAATAAGTGAGTATATGTTCAAAGAAAACAGTAGAAGAAGGAAGTCTTGTAAATATTATACTGGCTTTACATGCCCCTCTATACAATACACAAACGTATAATTGTAGTTTTACGTTGGAGTCTCATTCAGATAATGAAGTACATGTACTACATATCAACACTGAGTATGATAGCTGCCATTTCCTTTCAACCTATAATTTAATTGCTAAAATTTTATTCATTAACACAGTCATAATAGCTAAAAAATTGTTCTCAAAATCCAGGCCAGTAAGAAATGCGTGTGTGTAAGGGAGGGTGTGTGTGTGTATGTTTGTAAGGGGGGGGGGATAACCTCAAATAATTTTGCAAGTAGAGAAAACTAAGCTACACGTAAGAACAAGGTTCGCTTAGGGCCTTTCTTTGGCCCTGTGAATAGTTCTGAAAAATCATAACTATATTCAGTTTCGATAAACGGTGTTGCCGTAGTTATTAAACTTGAAAAAATTTTTCTTTTCTTTTTTTTTTTTTAATTTAATGTTTTTAATTTATTCCTTTTACAGTTTTTTTTTTTTGGAATAGAATTTTTACAAAGTGGACTATACTACGATACATATGTCTTTGATATAAGTGCACATTAGTAGAGCTACAGTCTAGGCAGACACTTCTGGTTTTTAACATTAGCGGGCAGAGTCTCTTCACACAGTTGCAAAATCAACAGGATTAGAAAACATTTTCCAAACGACAAAACCCTTCGAATAGACATGCAGCAGAAAATGGAGGAACAGACGAGGACATAAAATAACAGGAAAGGCAAAACATGCATTTGCATTAGTCACCCCCCCCCCCCCAAAGTGTTCATTGATTGATAATGATTGTATGTTTGATATTGAGTGTATGTTGTTTATGTCCCGTTCCAAAATTTTTCACTCATATAGAGACGTCACGATATACCGGTGAAGGGCTTCAAATTTAGACCTTTACTCGGCACTCAGGGCCATTGAGCAGTGAGGGTTCTTTATCATGCCAACGCATACCGTGACACGGGACCTCGGTTTTTTATGTCTCATCCGCAGGACCCGCAATTTTCACTTCAAAGTGCTTAGCGACGGAATAGTTGCTTCCTATTTTTTATCGACTTAGGTCAGTTGCGGCCTTGATTCCAACACACGACCTTCCGATCAAAGAGCGAGCCCCAAGTGTTCATAAACAAGTTTCTCCGCTGAATTCTTGGATATTTCAAGTTAAAGACTCCACCTTGTATTTCCTACAAATATACATCGACTATTGCTTCCAAACTTTTTAATTACAAGAAAACTTTACAGGGCCTGGATATCGAATATCTGAAGCATAATCCTCCATCGTGTTCATGTTCTTCTTCGCCCTATAACTATAGTCCTGCTGGACACGTTATTACTGGTGACGTAAATATAGTTAATAATGAGGACCTTAGATCACTAATTTTAAAAGGTCCTAAATTTAGGAAACCCAGATCCTTCAACTGGCTTCGGAATTTCATAAATATTATGGATTCTGTAGAGGACTACGCCAGGCGATGGACCAGACATGAAAAAGAAGACCTTGACACTTTGTCAGAATGGATTAAATGTATCAGATGTATGTTAAAATCGCGCATTAAAAGATTGAGAGGCAATATGAAAACCATCTATCCTTCAATAATCCAGAAGTGAAAAAAGAATTAGATAGATTACATGATCAGTACGTACTGGTCCCTGCTGTCAAAGCAGGTAACAACATTGTCTTTGTTTGTAAGGCTCATTATATTAAATGTATTTTAGAGGAACTTGGATTTAATTCTACAAGTGGTAATCCAACTTATACTCATAGTTCCCTTTCTAAGGAAGAAATTCTTCAAAATCATATGTCAGTTTTGAATATTTTCAATATTCCAAACAACCAAAATGAATTTGAATTACCATATTTATATTGGATTCCGAAACTTCATAAAAATCCTTACAAACAAAGATACATAGCGGATTCCAGTAAATGTTCAACCAAGCCTCTATCTTTATTCTTCACTAAGATATTAACAGTGTTAGGGGAGAAATTTCAAGAGTACTGTGCAACAATATATTCGAGAAGTGGTGTAAATCAGATGTGGATACTTAAAAATACCAAGGAACTTTTGGAAAATTTGAAATCTCAAGATTTTACCAAAATCAACAGCTTAAAAACTTACGACTTTTCAACTTTGTACACAACCATTCCCCACGATAAACTAAAGTCCAGGCTTTTTGATATCATTGACAGCTGCTTTTTCAATAAAAATGGAACTCGT